GTGACATGAAGTCATGTGACCGTGCTGTAGTTCCTTTATAGCCCAACATTAGCCACCTTTAGCTTAGCGGTGGTGAAGTCATGTGACCCTGCTGTAGTTCCTTTATAGCCCAACATTAGCCTCCTTTAGCTTAGCGTTGGTGGCTTGAAGTCATGTGACCGTGCTGTAGTTCTTTTATATTCCAACATTAGCCTCCTTTAACTTAGCGGTGGTGACGTGAAGTCATGTGACCCTGCTGTAGTTCCTTTATAGCTCAACATAGCCGCCTTTAGCTTAGCGGTGGGGACGTGAAGTCATGTGACCGTGCTGTAGTTCTTTTATATTCCAACATTAGCCTACTTTAACTTAGCGGTGGTGACGTGAAGTCATGTGACCCTGCTGTAGTTCCTTTATAGCCCAACATTAGCCTCCTTTAGCTTAGCGTGGTGGCGTGAAGTCATGTGACCCTGCTGTAGTTCCTTTATATCTCAACATTAGCCGCCTTTAGCTTAGCGGTGGTGACGTACTTCCTTTATAACGTGTCCTTCTTCCTCTCAGTTGTTCCTGTAAACATCTGTCTGCTGAACATTTTGGGACGGAAGTTGAGTATGACCATGCTGCAGCTGGTGGCGGCCATGTTGTTCATGTTGCTCAACATCTGCTCCTCCATGTGAGTAACTCTGAGGACCATTCATCTGTTTATGAGGACCATTCATCTGTTCATGAGGACCTTTGATCTGATCATGAGGACCTCTGATCTGTTTGAGGACCTCTGATCTGATCATGAGGACCTCTGATCTGATTATGAGGACCTCTGAACTGTTTGAGGACCTCTGACCTGTTTGAGGACCTCTGATCTGATCATGAGGACCTCTGATCTGATTATGAGGACCTCTGAACTGTTTGAGGACCTCTGACCTGTTTGAGGACCTCTGATCTGTTCATGAGGACCTCTGATCTGATTATGAGGACCTCTGATCTGTTTGAGGACCTCTGATCTGATCATGAGGACCTCTGATCTGATTATGAGGACCTCTGATCTGTTTGAGGACCTCTGATCTGTTCATGAGGACCTCTGATCTGATCATGAGGACCTCTGATCTGTTTGAGGACCTCTGATCTGATCATGAGGACCTCTGATCTGATTATGAGGACCTCTGATCTGATTATGAGGACCTCTGAACTGTTTGAGGACCTCTGATCTGATCATGAGGACCTCTGATCTGTTCATGAGGACCTCTGATCTGTTCATGAGGACCTCTGATCTGTTCATGAGGACCTCTGATCTGATCATGAGGACCTCTGATCTGATTATGAGGACCTCTGATCTGTTCATGAGGACCTCTGATCTGTTCATGACGACCTCTGATCTGATCATGAGGACCTCTGATCTGATTATGAGGACCTCTGAACTGTTTGAGGACCTCTGATCTGTTCATGAGGACCTCTGATCTGTTCATGAGGACCTCTGATCTGATCATGAGGACCTCTGATCTGTTTGAGGACCTCTGAACTGTTCATGAGGACCTTTGATCTGATCATGAGGACCTCTGATCTGATCATGAGGACCTCTGATCTGATCATGAGGACCTCTGATCTGATTATGAGGACCTCTGATCTGTTCATGAGGACCTCTGATCTGTTCATGAGGACCTCTGATCTGATCATGAGGACCTCTGATCTGATCATGAGGACCTCTGATCTGATCATGAGGACCTCTGATCTGTTTGAGGACCTCTGAACTGTTCATGAGGACCTTTGATCTGATCATGAGGACCTCTGATCTGTTTGAGGACCTCTGATCATGAGGACCTCTGATCTGTTTGAGGACCTCTGAACTGTTCATGAGGACCTTTGATCTGATCTGTTTGAGGACCTCTGATCTGTTTGAGGACCTCTGAACTGTTCATGAGGACCTTTGATCTGATCATGAGGACCTCTGATCTGTTTGAGGACCTCTGATCTGTTTGAGGACCTCTGATCTGTTTATGAGGACCTCTGGTTCTGTTCTGATCTGTTTCTGATATGGTTCTGATCTGGTTCTGATCTGGTTCTGATCTGGTTCTGTTCCTCCGCAGGTTTGGCTTCACGGTTCTGCTGTTCCTGCTGCGCGCGCTGGTCTCCATGAACTTTAATGTGGTTTATATTTACACGGCTGAGGTACGTCAGGATCTACTGGATGCATTCATTTAAATATAAATAAATGATAAACATCACAACATCTCTCAGGTTTATCCCACGGTGGCCCGCTCTCTGGGGATGGGCTTCTGCACGAGCTTCAGCCGCATCGGAGGGATGATCGCCCCCTTCATCTCTCAGGTGAGTTCAGGGTCCCTCTGAGAGTCAGGTGTTCAGGGTCCCTCTGAGAGTCAGTTGTGTTCAGGTTAATCTTATAGAGTCAGGTGAGTTCAGGGTCCCTCTGAGACTCAAGTGTTCAGGTTCATCTTATAGAGTCAGGTGTTCAGGGTCCCTCTGAGAGTCAGGTGTTCAGGTTCATCTTATAGAGTCAGGTGTGTTCAGGTTCAATCTTATAGAGTCAGTGGTCAGGGTCCCTCTGAGAGTTCAGGTGTGTTCAGGTTCATCTTATAGAGTCAGGTGTTCAGGGTCCCTCTGAGAGTCGATGTGTTCAGGTTCATCTTATAGAGTCAAGTGTTTCAGAGTCCCTCAGAGAGTCAGGTGTGTTCAGGTTCATCTTATAGAGTCAGGTGTTCAGGGTCCCTCAGAGTCAGGTGTTCAGGTCCCTCTGAGAGTCAGGTGTGTTCAGGTTCATCTTATAGAGTCAGGTGTTCAGTGGTCCCTCAGAGGGTCAGGTGTGTTCAGGTTCATCTTATAGAGTCAGGTGTTCAGGGTCCCTCTGAGAGTCAGGTGTGTGTTCAGGTTCATCTTATAGAGTCAGGTGTTCAGGGTCCCCTCTTGAGAGGCAGGTGTTCAGGGTCCCTCTGAGAGTCAGGGTGTTCAGGTTCATCTTATAGAGTCAGGTGTGTTCAGGTTCATCTTATAGAGTCAGGTGTGTTCAGTTTCTGTTCAGGGGTCCCCTCTGAGAGTCAGGTGTGTTCAGGTTCATCTTATAGAGTCAGGTGTTCAGGGTCCCTCTGAGAGTCAGGTGTTCAGTGTCCCTCAGAGTAAGGTGTTTCAGGGTCCCCTCAGAGGGTCAGGTGTGTTCAGGTTCATCTTATAGAGTCAGGTGTTCAGGGCTTCTCTGAGAGGCAGGTGTTTAGGGTTTCCTCTGAGAGTCAGGTGTTTCAGGTTCATCTTATAGAGTCAGGTGTGTTCAGGTTCATCTTATAGAGTCAGGTGTTCAGGGTCCCCCAGAGTCAGGTGTTCAGGTCCCTCTGAGAGTCAGGTGTGTTCAGGTTCATCTTATAGAGTCAGGTGTGTTCAGGTTCATCTTATAGAGTCAGGTGTTCAGGGTCCCTCTGAGAGTCAGGTGTGTTCAGGTTCATCTTATAGAGTCAGGTGTTCAGGGTCCCTCTGAGAGTCAGGTGTGTTCAGGTTCATCTTATAGAGTCAGGTGTTCAGGGTCCCTCTGAGAGTCAGGTGTGTTCAGACCTTTAGATGTGACTAAAAAGGTCCTCATATAACTCATATTTTTCAGGTTCAAACACACTCCAACGTTTTAAGCTGGGTGTAAGCTGGTTTTAGTATTACTGCAATATATATGTATTTCCATGGACTCAGAGACAATTAAAATCACCGACAATTAATTACTAGTGACGTTAGTCACCTGCCTTCTAATCTAGAGAACTAGTTATTCCATCATTACTCTTATTTACATCGATTAACCGGATAAGCTAATGCTAGCTTATTAGTTTAACGTAGCTAACCACATGCAAAGGACCCCTGCCACATGGAAGACTCTCTCAACAGAACTGGAAGGATTGCACACTAAATTGAGGTAATTCATTACTTTTTCTTAAACACCTACAGTTGTATCTAAGTTGTTGTTACTGAAGCACAATATATTATATTAAAATGTGAATTGTAACAGTGTTTTCCAATTTAACACCAAATTGATGGTTATTCAGTAGACCTAGTAAGTAATGTTATTTGTGTTTTAATAATGTTATAACAGTATTTACCTTTGAAGACGCTTTGTTTGTGCTCTTGTCACATTATTTGTTGAGGTGTTTAAGTAACTTGAAATTACAAAATTATACCTGCAATTACTCAGGGTTTGCACTGAACAGTTAGCTTATCAAGCTAATGGGATCCTGCATTAGTGAGAACATGAGTTAGTTAAGGGTCAGGGGTTATGATTAAAGACTGAATAATAATATTTTATAGGGATGCTCCGATCGATCGGTCACCGATCGAGATCGGCCGATACTCACTCTCTACCGATCGATCGGTGCTCTCTAAACATGCCGATCGCGAGAGCCGATCGCATGACGTAAAATACATGACACTTTTCTCTGTGTGCGGCCAAAACAAGCTCGCCAAAATGGCTTCACCGGTCTGGCATTATTTTAAGGTGTCCGAAAAAGACAGTAAAATAGCGGTATGCAACGTGTGTGAAGCAGAAATCCTGCAGCTCCGCCCGTCGGACAGGTAAGGGCAGCGAAACACACACACAGGGAGAACCAGACCGCAGTTCATTTCCTCATATTCCAAACGAGAAATTACGGTAGCAAATCACCCGGTTCTTTACGACCAGAACTATTAACAGGATACACACCGGAGGAACCAGGCATGGAGGGAGGTGGCAGAGACAGTGGGTGAAACTGGTAAGTTTTCGCCTGTTTTAGGGAGTTTATATATATATATTGCTCGCATAAAATCCCCGGGGCTTTTTGCTTTGTATGTCGGGGGCGGGAGATTCATGTGATTGGTTGTTGATCGCGTTGCTCGCAAACAATCCCCAAGCTTTCAGACACGCCCAGCTCCAAGATTTTCAAGATTTTTGAAAAGCTGCTGTGTGGACGTACCGTAACGGCCCGTCTACACTACAGGCTTCAAAAAAGCTTGAAGCTGGGCGTGTCTGAAGCTTGGCGATTTTTTTGCGAGCAACGCGACCAACAACCAATCATGAATCTCCCGCCCCCGACATACAAAGCAATAGCAATGTTAAAACGAAGTAAACTGGATATAAAATCCCCAAACAGGCGAAAACCTACCAGTTTCACCCACTGTCTCTGCCACCTCCCTCCATGCCTGGTTCCTCCGGTTTGTATCCCGGTAAATAGTTCTGGTCGGAAAGAACCGGGTGATTTGCTACCGTAATTTCTCGTTTGGAATATGAGGAAATTAACTGCGGTCTGGCTCTAACTGCACACGGTTTGATTGGCTAGCGCTTGTACTGGCGGGAATTGCAAAAACAGGATTTGATTGGCTGACGCCAGCTTCGAGCAAGCATCGAGCCTCAAAAGTTGAACATTGTTCAACTTTTGACGCCGATAGACGCTCGCGATGCTTGCAACGCCTGGCCATGCTACCCACAATGCAGTTCGGCGAAGTTTGAAAATATCCTAAGTCACCCCATTCAAATGAATGGGCGAAGCGTTGAAAGCATTTTTTGACGCCTGTAATGTAGACGGGCCGTAAGAGTTACGGCCCGTCTACACTACAGGCGTCGAAAAAGCTTGAAGCTGGGCGTGTCTGAGGCTTGGCGATTTTTTGCGAGCAACGCGACCAACAACCAATCACATGAATCTCCCGCCCCCGACATACAAAGCAATAGCAATGTTAAAACGAAGTAAACTGGATATAAAATCCCCAAACAGGCGAAAACCTACCAGTTTCATCCACTGTCTCTGCCACCTCCCTCCATGCCTCGCTCCTCCGGTTTGTATCCCAGTAGATTAACAGAGACTGATCATACAGCACCGGGTGATTCACTACCGCTATAATGAATTTTCCCTCCATTTTTTTGAATATGAGGAAATGACCTGCGTAGTCTCTCCCAGCATACACGCGGTTTGATTGGCTCGCTTGTACTGGCAGATTTGCATAAACGGGATTTCATTGGCTGACGCCAGCTTCGAGCAAGCATCGAGCCTCAAAAGTTGAACATTGTTCAACTTTTGACGCCGATAGACGCTCGCAGATGCTTGCAACGCCTTGCCATGCTACCCACAATGCAGTTCGGCGAAGTTTGAAAATATCCTACGTCACCCCATTCAAATGAATGGGCGAAGCGTTGAAAGCATTTTTTGACGCCTGTAGTGTAGACGGGCCGTTAGACCTAACACACTTAGCTATTTTATCTACCTCTGGAACAAGCTACACTAGTTATTATAAATATATTTATTCTTCATTGTCGGGTCACTCTTACTGGATCAGTGAGCTGCATGAGATACTGACAGGCTGTCAGGAGAGGGAGAGAGGGGGGAGAGAGAGAGGGAGAGAGGAAAAGAGAGCGCTTCTGCTAATTTCTCCCGTGTTATTATCCCAAGTGAATGTAAACTTGAATAATGTACATCATTTGAATGTAATAATTAAGTTGATTGTTGTTTGTGGAAGCTCCAGAGAATGAGCCCCATTAACTGAGTTTTAAACATCACTTTAAATGGAAGATTTAAAGTGATGTTTAAATCTTCCATTTAGGCCCCGCCCACTCGATCGGATCGGCGATCGGTATCGGCCGATACTGATTCTGGCGATCGGCCCCGAAATTGGCGATCGGAGCATCCCTAATATTTTATAAATGATATTTGATACAAATAAATTATAAATTGTTTTAATGTTTTGTATTATTTGTTCTTGTTGAATTGTTGTCCTTCTTCCATGTAGATGTTTGCTAATTGAGGAACACACGGCAAAGTGAAGAGCATGTCAACAAGGAAATCCAGACTTAGTCCTGAGGCTGAGGCTATTCAGTTTATTTTATCCGGGGCTGATAAGCCTTGTTTTAAGGTCAAATGGATCAACGACTATAAAGGTATGTTAGCAATATGTTATTCCCTATAGTTGTTAATTCTCACTGTTCAACAGTTCATGTAAAACATCCTGGCCACGGCTGTACAGAGGGCAATATAAGTTTCATTCACTCTTACATGCACACACTATGATCAAGGTTATTAAAGATAAAGCAGTTTTTTTTCCACAGTGTTAGCTGCCTTAATCTGTGTTTTTTTTAGTGTCGGATCAACTTCTAATTATTATTGGCACTGATTATTTTACTTTGTTTAATCAGGACGTGGCATATTTTCATGTGCACCAATTGAAAAGGGATCCTTTGTTGTCGAGTACCGTGGGGAGTTGATATCACAATATGAACGTGACAAGAGGCAGGAGAAATACACTGAAATCCAAAATACTTTCTTCTTTGATTTTGAATGGAACAATGACACATGGTGGTAAGTAAAGGCCTATAAAAGATTACATATTTTGAAGGATTCAATCACATTTTTGTTGAGATATGTTTTCTTCTTTGATTTTAGCATTGATGCATCCTGTGAAGATGGTTCGCTGGGTGCTCTGATAAATGATGACCACAGGTCCCCAAACTGCAAAATAAAAAAGTTGACAGTCCAGGGTAAACCTCATCTTTGCATGTTTGCTATTGAAAACATCCAAGCAGGATGTGAAATTACCTACGATTATGGAAAGTCTCACTGGCCATGGCGTGCTCTGGTAAGTAAATTAATCTCAATAGATTAAATGATATAGGATCTGTTAACCCTTGTGTTTTGTTAAAGCTGTTACCGTTCATGGTGCTTGCGGGTACATTTTGACCCATGATTTATCTCGTTCCAAAACACTATCAATGACTATCATCAATATTGTTTTAACTACTTCATAACTAACTTATAATGCATTCATAACCGTACAATTCTGTTGTAATTTTATTTTATGGCCCCAAAACACATTACACCACATATTGTACATGCAACACAGTCTCACGGCATTTCGTGTTATAGTCACGGAATTAATCTACTGATTCGTGTTCATCAACACGATTTCCCCATGTTTTTCGTGTCACACAGAACAATTTTAAAAGCAATGTAAATAATAACAAATTAGAAGGAAAAAAAGATTTTAAAAAATACAGATTTCAGTATTCTGACACAAAACGATTTTAGAAGCAATGTATTTATATTGGTAGTATGTTTCGTGCCTGCACGTCCCCATATGGTACAACCAAACGAGTGTAGAGTGTGTGTGTTACATCGTCCTCATATTGTTGGGTAGCAGATATTGTATTTAGGTACAACCAAACGAGTGTTCTGATTATTTTAATTTGCAGACACAGAGTGACATGATCGCAGCTCAGCTTTTAGCTGACTCTGAAGCGAGCCTGATATCCACCTCATCCTTCCTACAGGTAATTAAACATTTACTGTAGACTATATCTATCCAAGGTAAATTCATGTCTCAGTCAAGTACAATGCAAAAGTATAATGCCTTCTAACTTCATTGACACAAAGGTGTTGTGAAAGATTTTCACAATGTCAAAACTGATAGTTATAATAACAAATTAGAAGAAAAAAGAGATTTACAGATTTCAGTATTCTGACACCGAACGATTGTAAAAGCAATGTATTTCTATTGGTAGTATGTTTCGTGCCTGCACCAAATAATAACAAATTAGAAGGAAAAAAAGATTTAAAAAAATACAGATTTCTGCATTCTGAGGCTCTGAGCCCCATTTATTTCCCTCACGGACGGCAAGAAAAGTCTGACATTATACAATTTCAAATAAAAACAATAATCGAACACGAATCAATAGATTACATTTATTTTGTGACTATAACACAACATGCAGTGAGACTGGGTTGGCACATGTGGATGTGTGTGTTCAGGTTCAAGTATTAGTGTACATATTCTTTGAGAAAGGTCGGGTTCCCGTGGGGGGAGGGGAGACCAGGTGCATGTTGCGAAAAATATATTGTTACAGTGGATGAAGGGGGTGGGGCTGGGGTCTAAAGTCAAAGATGAATCTTGATTGGGCCAGATTTGACCCCGAGTGACCCACATCAATGCTGCTGGGTATACCCAGACCCGAACACCAACTTGTATACAGTTTTTTTCAGAGACCTTCAGACTTGGCTAAAATTGTCACACTCAGTTTTTCAGTGTTTATATAGCTGTTGTGGAGGATATCATGAAGCCTTGTTCCGATAAAAAAAATTAGAGCGTAGTTATTTTATCATTTCTAACCTGAAACCCAACCCGAACACAACATAAGGGTCAAAAGAATGACTAGATCAATGAAAACGTGTACATTTCCCATCTTTATGGGATGTTCCTCCTCCTTTTGCCAATGTGTTGGCGAACTTAACCTAATGTGTATCAGTTTAGATGATTTAATTAATAGGGAAGTAGATCCATACTTATTACGATGGGGGGTTTCAGGTTTTTTTAACAACAACAGCACACCTCAGAAGTCAGGAACACAGACTTTGTTTAACTTCAGTTGTCATCTCCTCATTTGTTTTAGCTTGTGTAGTCCTGATGTGTTTCAGAGAAGTCCCCATATGGTTCGACCCATCGAGTGTAGAGTGTGTGTGTTACATCGTCCTCATATTGTTGGGTAGCAGATATCGTCTTTAGGTTGGGTAGTCCTGATGTGTTTCAGAGAAGTCCCCATATGGTTCGACCCAACGAGTGTAGAGTGTGTGTGTTACATCGTCCTCATATTGTTGGGTAGCAGATATTGTACGGTTCAAACTATTTATATAGTCTTGAGTTACAAGCCCAGATCCTCATGTGAATTGTTTTTACTAAAATCTGTGTCCCCTACATGAAAAGTCAATCGATTTCTTACACGTTATTGTTGTATTTTAAATTGCAGACACAGAGTGACATGATCGCAGCTCAGCTTTTAGCTGACTCTGAAGCGAGCCTGATATCCACCTCATCCTTCCTACAGGTAATTAAACATTTACTGTAGACTATATCTATCCAAGGTAAATGCATGTCTCAGTCAAGTACAATGCAAAAATAGAATGCCTTTTTTTACCTAATTAAAATTAATAGGTTGTTTAAAAACATTTAGAATGTCAATATAACTGTTAATTGTTTCTAAAAAACATAGTGGAAATATATACCCCTACCATTTGATAGCAGTTAAGAAAGAAAATGATCTTTATTGCCCCTAAATTCTGGGTTTTTTCTCCTTTTGTTCTCCAATGTGTTTGCCAACTTAACCTAATGTGTATCAGTTTAGATGATTTAATTAATAGGGAAGTAGATCTATACTTATTACGATGGGGGTTTCAGTTTTTTTTAACAACAACAGCACACCTCAGAAGTCAGGAACACTGACTTTTTGTAAATTCAGTCGTCATGTCCTCATTTTGTTTTAGGTTGTGTAGTCTTGATATCTTTCAGAGAACGTCCCCATATGGTTCGACCCAACGAGTGTAGAGTGTGTGTGTTACATCGTCCTCATATTGTTGGGTAGCAGATATCGTCTTTAGGTTGGGTAGTCCTGATGTGTTTCAGAGAAGTCCCCATATGGTACAACCCAACGAGTGTAGAGTGTGTGTGTTACATCGTCCTCATATTGTTGGGTAGCAGATATCGTCTTTAGGTTGGGTAGTCCTGATGTGTTTCAGAGAAGTCCCCATATGGTACAACCCATCGAGTGTAGAGTGCGTGTGTTACATCGTCCTCATATTGTTGGGTAGCAGATATCGTCTTTAGGTTGGGTAGTCCTGATGTGTTTCAGAGAAGTCCCCATATGGTACAACCCAACGAGTGTAGAGTGTGTGTTTACATCGTCCTCATATTGTTGGGTAGCAGATATCGTCTTTAGCTTGTGTAGTCCTGATGTGTTTCAGAGAAGTCCCCATATGGTACAAACCCATCGAGTGTAGAGTGCGTGTGTTACATCGTCCTCATATTGTTGGGGTAGCAGATATCGTCTTTAGGTTGGGTAGTCCTGATGTGTTTCAGAGAAGTCCCCATATGGTACAACCCAACGAGTGTAGAGTGTGTGTGTTACATCGTCCTCATATTGTTGGGTAGCAGATATTGTACGGTTCAAACTATTTCTATAGTCTTGAGTTACAAGCCCAGATCCTCATGTGAATTGTTTTTACTAAAATCTGTGTCCCCTACATGAAAAGTCAATCGATTTCTGACACGTTATTGTTGTATTTTAAATTGCAGACACAGAGTGACATGATCGCAGCTCAGCTTTTAGCTGACTCTGAAGCGAGCCTGATATCCACTTCATCCTTCCTACAGGTAATTAAACATTTACTGTAGACTATATCTATCCAAGGTAAATGCATGTCTCAGTCAAGTACAATGCAAAAGTATAATGCCTTCTAACTTCATTGACACAAAGGTGTTGTGAAAGATTTTCACAATGTCAAAACTGATAGTTATAATAACAAATTAGAAGGAAAAAGAGATTTACAGATTTCAGTATTCTGACACCGAACGATTGTAAAAGCAATGTATTTCTATTGGTAGTATGTTTCGTGCCTGCACCAAATAATAACAAATTAGAAGGAAAAAAAGATTTAAAAAATACAGATTTCTGCATTCTGAGGCTCTGAGCCCCATTTATTTCCCTCACGGACGGCAAGAAAAGTCTGACATTATACAATTTCAAATAAAAACAATAATCGAACACGAATCAATAGATTACATTTATTTTGTGACTATAACACAACATGCAGTGAGACTGGGTTGGCACATGTGGATGTGTGTGTTCAGGTTCAAGTATTAGTGTACATATTCTTTGAGAAAGGTCGGGTTCCCGTGGGGGGAGGGGAGACCAGGTGCATGTTGCGAAAAATATATTGTTACAGTGGATGAAGGGGGGTGGGGCTGGGGTCTAAAGTCAAAGATGAATCTTGATTGGGCCAGATTTGACCCCGAGTGACCCACATCAATGCTGCTGGGTATACCCAGACCCGAACACCAACTTGTATACAGTTTTTTTCAGAGACCTTCAGACTTGGCTAAAATTGTCACACTCAGTTTTTCAGTGTTTATATAGCTGTTGTGGAGGATATCATGAAGCCTTGTTCCGATAAAAAAAATTAGAGCGTAGTTATTTTATAATTTCTAACCTGAAACCCAACCCGAACACAACATAAGGGTCAAAAGAAGGACTAGATCAATGAAAACGTGGACATTTCCCATCTTTATGGGATGTTCCTCCTCCTTTTGCCAATGTGTTGGCGAACTTAACCTAATGTGTATCAGTTTAGATGATTTAATTAATAGGGAAGTAGATCCATACTTATTACGATGGGGGTTTCAGTTTTTTTAACAACAACAGCACACCTCAGAAGTCAGGAACACAGACTTTGTTTAACTTCAGTTGTCATCTCCTCATTTGTTTTAGCTTGTGTAGTCCTGATGTGTTTCAGAGAAGTCCCCATATGGTTCGACCCATCGAGTGTAGAGTGTGTGTGTTACATCGTCCTCATATTGTTGGGTAGCAGATATCGTCTTTAGGTTGGGTAGTCCTGATGTGTTTCAGAGAAGTCCCCATATGGTTCGACCCAACGAGTGTAGAGTGTGTGTGTTACATCGTCCTCATATTGTTGGGTAGCAGATATTGTACGGTTCAAACTATTTATATAGTCTTGAGTTACAAGCCCAGATCCTCATGTGAATTGTTTTTACTAAAATCTGTGTCCCCTACATGAAAAGTCAATCGATTTCTTACACGTTATTGTTGTATTTTAAATTGCAGACACAGAGTGACATGATCGCAGCTCAGCTTTTAGCTGACTCTGAAGCGAGCCTGATATCCACCTCATCCTTCCTACAGGTAATTAAACATTTACTGTAGACTATATCTATCCAAGGTAAATGCATGTCTCAGTCAAGTACAATGCAAAAATAGAATGCCTTTTTTTACCTAATTAAAATTAATAGGTTGTTTAAAAACATTTAGAATGTCAATATAACTGTTAATTGTTTCTAAAAAACATAGTGGAAATATATACCCCTACCATTTGATAGCAGTTAAGAAAGAAAATGATCTTTATTGCCCCTAAATTCTGGGTTTTTTCTCCTTTTGTTCTCCAATGTGTTTGCCAACTTAACCTAATGTGTATCAGTTTAGATGATTTAATTAATAGGGAAGTAGATCTATACTTATTACGATGGGGGGTTTCAGTTTTTTTAACAACAACAGCACACCTCAGAAGTCAGGAACACTGACTTTTTGTAAATTCAGTCGTCATGTCCTCATTTTGTTTTAGGTTGTGTAGTCTTGATATCTTTCAGAGAACGTCCCCATATGGTTCGACCCAACGAGTGTAGAGTGTGTGTGTTACATCGTCCTCATATTGTTGGGTAGCAGATATCGTCTTTAGGTTGGGTAGTCCTGATGTGTTTCAGAGAAGTCCCCATATGGTACAACCCAACGAGTGTAGAGTGTGTGTGTTACATCGTCCTCATATTGTTGGGTAGCAGATATCGTCTTTAGGTTGGGTAGTCCTGATGTGTTTCAGAGAAGTCCCCATATGGTACAACCCATCGAGTGTAGAGTGTGTGTGTTACATCGTCCTCATATTGTTGGGTAGCAGATATCGTCTTTAGGTTGGGTAGTCCTGATGTGTTTCAGAGAAGTCCCCATATGGTACAACCCAACGTGTGTAGAGTGTGTGTGTTACATCGTCCTCATATTGTTGGGTAGCAGATATCGTCTTTAGCTTGTGTAGTCCTGATGTGTTTCAGAGAAGTCCCCATATGGTACAACCCATCGAGTGTAGAGTGCGTGTGTTACATCGTCCTCATATTGTTGGGTAGCAGATATCGTCTTTAGGTTGGGTAGTCCTGATGTGTTTCAGAGAAGTCCCCATATGGTACAACCCAACGAGTGTAGAGTGTGTGTGTTACATCGTCCTCATATTGTTGGGTAGCAGATATCGTCTTTAGGTTGGGTAGTCCTGATGTGTTTCAGAGAAGTCCCCATATGGTACAACCCATCGAGTGTAGAGTGTGTGTGTTACATCGTCCTCATATTGTTGGGTAGCAGATATCGTCTTTAGGTTGGGTAGTCCTGATGTGTTTCAGAGAAGTCCCCATATGGTACAACCCAACGAGTGTAGAGTGTGTGTGTTACATCGTCCTCATATTGTTGGGTAGCAGATATCGTCTTTAGCTTGTGTAGTCCTGATGTGTTTCAGAGAAGTCCCCATATGGTACAACCCATCGAGTGTAGAGTGCGTGTGTTACATCGTCCTCATATTGTTGGGTAGCAGATATCGTCTTTAGGTTGGGTAGTCCTGATGTGTTTCAGAGAACGTCCCCATATGGTTCGACCCAACGAGTGTAGAGTGTGTGTGTTACATCGTCCTCATATTGTTGGGTAGCAGATATCGTCTTTAGGTTGGGTAGTCCTGATGTGTTTCAGAGAAGTCCCCATATGGTACAACCCAACGAGTGTAGAGTGTGTGTGTTACATCGTCCTCATATTGTTGGGTAGCAGATATCGTCTTTAGCTTGTGTAGTCCTGATGTGTTTCAGAGAAGTCCCCATATGGTACGACCCAACGAGTGTAGAGTGTGTGTGTTACATCGTCCTCATATTGTTAGGTAGCAGATATCGTCTTCAGCTTGTGTAGTCCTGATGTGTTTCAGAGAAGTCCCCATATGGTTCAACCCAACGAGTGTAGAGAGTGTGTGTGTTACATCGTCCTCATATTGTTGGGTAGCAGATATTGTACGGTTCAAACTATTTATATAGTCTTGAGTTACAAGCCCAGATCCTCATGTGAATTGTTTTTACTAAAATCTGTGTCCCCTACATGAAAAGTCAATCGATTTCTGACACGTTATTGTTGTATTTTAAATTGCAGACACAGAGTGACATGATCGCAGCTCAGCTTTTAGCTGACTCTGAAGCGAGCCTGATATCCACCTCATCCTTCCTACAGGTAATTAAACATTTACTGTAGACTATATCTATCCAAGGTAAATGCATGTCTCAGTCAAGTACAATGCAAAAGTATAATGCCTTCTAACTTCATTGACACAAAGGTGTTGTGAAAGATTTTCACAATGTCAAAACTGATAGTTATAATAACAAATTAGAAGGAAAAAGAGATTTACAGATTTCAGTATTCTGACACCGAACGATTGTAAAAGCAATGTATTTCTATTGGTATTATGTTTCGTGCCTGCACCAAATAATAACAAATTAGAAGGAAAAAAAGATTTAAAAAATACAGATTTCTGCATTCTGAGGCTCTGAGCCCCATTTATTTCCCTCACGGACGGCAAGAAAAGTCTGACATTATACAATTTCAAATAAAAACAATAATCGTGGCTTGATATTGAGTAAGAAAATGTTTTTATGAAACACACAGCTTCCAAGACCCGACTGTGGTATAGGCATGAAACAAACTACCAATACAAATACATTGCTTATAAAATCGTTCTGTGTGACACGAAAGAAAGGGGAAAATCGTGTTGGTGAACACGAATCAATAGATTACATTTATTTTGTGACTATAACACAACATGCAGTGAGACTGGGTTGGCACATGTGTGTGTTCAGGTTCAAGTATTAGTGTACATATTCTTTGAGAAAGGTCGGGTTCCCGTGGGGGGAGGGGAGACCAGGTGCATGTTGCGAAAAATATATTGTTACAGTGGATGAAGGGGGTGGGGCTGGGGTCTAAAGTCAAAGATGAATGGAGAGGCGAAGTCACGCCCATCTACTTCCGGACCATGGGACCCCGGAAGCGAAACATTTACATTGAATTCAATGGAGAGAGAACACGTATCTTTTGATCCCGTTTGAATTGTGCCACGAACTACACATATGATGTTTGTCAATCTTAAACAATCATTTCCATGTCAAAAAAGTCACATTTTGTCGTAAAACTGCTGAAATATAAGACTATGAAAAATACGCTACTACAAAGACTACAAATCCCAAATCCCATTCTGGGTCGCGTAAGTGATGTCACAGGCATGCTCGGTGATTTATAATAAGACTCGTAATTAAAGCGAAGAAGAAGAAGATCTCATAACTGATTTATTCCCTCCAATAAATTATAGATCGCTAAAAATAAATTCACTTTTACAAGATGCCTGTGTGCTTTGTACCAGGTTGTAGTCATAAAAGTGATCATACCACTTGCTCCTTCTATCGATTCCCGTCTGATGAAAGGACCAGGAGTCGCTGGATCAGACATATCAGGTAATATCATAGGTAATATACATGTTGTGCATGGAACATAGTCAAGTTAGCTACCTAGCTAGTAGCGACGAGTAGCGAGCACGTTAGTTAGCATTACATTACTTAGCCTTGTCATTTTTAGTAGCCTTACCATGAAGTTATTATTTTATTACATGAAGTAAACCAAAATGTTAAACAGTAACCAAACATGATGGTAAGTATTTCGTGAAACTTTTGAAGAGTAGCCTACTGCGCCATCCACCGGGTGCTAAGCAAGCAGTTCAGGGAGAGTCGAAGGCAGGCATGGAGCTTTGCATGACATTCTTCTGGACGTGTTTCATTGTGATGACAATCTGTTTGTTGGAAAGACAGTCGTTGTGTGCTTATTGAGAGAAAATTGTTAGAAGAGATAATTATTCAAAGTGTTGTTACTTTAAACTAAGTGTTGTTACTGACCTTTTTCTCTTTTATTTTCTTTACCTCACCTGTAACTGCTGAGACGTTGAGGAACATGCACACTGACCTGCTCTGGCAACCTGACTTCCACTGTACGTAATAGTATTTGGTTATGATATATTATTTATATACATCAAAGGCACAATGCACCCCCCAGAGACACACATGTATTGAGTGTGATATTTTGCATAGGTCATGTGAAATCATCTTTACATACTAGAAAACTGTAGGAGCGGCAACTTGTTTTGAAATTGAATTTTTAATATCCGATAATAAAGTTGATCTGTTTTCTTTATTCTTCTCTCTTCCCAGCTCCATCACCATTCTCTGTTCCTGCAGGTCCTGCTTGCTAATCAATGCTCATATTTTTTTACACAATTACAAATAAAGTCATTGTATTGTATGACATGAAGTTGTGCTTCATTCGGAGTCAATAATAAATTCATTCTGCCTTCAACTGCGCAATGATTGTGGACTGCACCGACATCCATGTAGCTGCCCCCCAGTAAGATGAACCAAGCAAAGAGGGTCCCCATCATGCCCAAGGACATCCAGCTGGCCCGCCGCATCCGCGGAGAGAGGGCTTAGACTGACCTGAGACCAGCACACCCAAACACAACAGCTCTTTTAAGAGCCACATACATTTTCAAAGAGTTGCAATCCTACGTTATTATAATGATTAAACTGGTTCATGTATCACTTAGTTTACTGAACCGTGATGAATGAAAGAAACTAGTGAGGTAGTGGTTTACTGAAGTTACAAAGACATTAATATATGAGTAACAGGTCAGTGTAAACACAAGCTTCTGTCAATTATGGATCATTCAAACTATTTATATAAAAATATGTAATAAAGTTCTAAAACAAGTATTCGGTATATTCCTTGATAGCTTTTGGAGAAGGTTGTTTTTAAGTTTACTAAAATCTATCGTTTCAACTGTTTCACTTTATAAAAAGGGAACAGGTGAGTAAAGCATCATTGAGTTTCTTATTCTGTCAGTAAATTATCCAAATGAATGTTTTTCATTATTTTAGTCAACCCTAAACAAATTGATTGTACCTTTTAATGATGACCTTACATGGTCGGCAAAGTTAAATTAACTTCAGAAAATTAAATCTGTTCTGAGAAAAAACTAATAAATGTTTAAAGATAGGAACTTGCCATCCCACTGAAAAACAGTCCGTAGAGATTTAAAGGCGTAGTTGTAGTTCAGTCCAACGTTTCATTTGGATTCATTTGACAACAGTCAACTATTTTCATAAAGAATATATATATTTTTCAAAGTCAACTTTATTGTCAATCTTACTCAGTTTGAGAGATCAAAAAGACGTTTAAATACAATTATACAATTTACAGATATGTATACAAATATATATATCCTATATACACCATCATGTATAATGATGGTGTATGATGTAGAAGGAAGTGTGGTAGATAACAAGTAAATATAGAGTTACATACAGATCCATGTTACAGCAAAAGATGGAATAACTAAGAAGCACGCAGTATAATAATAATTACATGCAACAATTAAATAACTGCTCAGCATCTCCACCACAATCCCAATCTGCTGTGTCCTGTTTTCCTCCCCCCTGCATAACACCCCATCACACATACAAAACACAACGCAGAGTCCGAGGGTGTTAAGAGTATGTTTATTGAAATGTCCTCCTCTCTACTGGCCAACACAGGGAGCATATGCTGGGTGTAGAATTGTTCCAGGAGGAGGAGATTTCCATGCCATGCAGGGTCTTTGGGGATGGGGATGATGATCGCCTCCTTCGTGGTCCACACAACAAAGTAGCAGAGACTCCGGTCTGTGATGTGCAGCTGCCCTTGGACCTGGTGCCAGTATGGGTGATTCTCCTTGAGAATATATGACCCACCCTCCTCACGGAGACAGAAGGATGGTAACTGGACTGCCTCCGTGATGGTCATGTTCCTCTGGCTGTGTGGACACTTCACCTCCAGCAGGGCAGATGGCTGCACAAGTCCATCGGGTGATGCTCCCAACACACCCGACTCACTCACAAAGAGACCAGACTCGATTCTAACACTGTCACTTGATAGGCCTCCACAAAAGCCTTCACCCCTTCGGCCTCGTTTACAACCCCCCAGTTGACAGTTGGCGATGTCTCTGGCCAGTGGGTTGTATGTCTCCTCTCGCTGATGGTAAAGTTGAGACACCGGCTGGACTACTTTGGAAGTGCCAGGCTTCCTCCACTGGCACTCAACATCTGTGGAGCTGATCTGCCACATGGCAAATATTGCCAATGCTGCAGCGTGGCTGCATTTGTACATCTCCTGTGCACAATCACAGACAGCGCTCTGCATCGCGCCATCGTCTCCCATGCAGATCTGTAAAAATAAAGTAAGTACCATTTGTTAGCATGCTATAATAGATTGAATGAGCAATAATACAAGGATGGTCCGGATCTGGGGGTGGGAGGGTTTATTTTTCCATAGTTTTGTCCTCTTGTCTGTTGTTATTGTTTGTTTTTCTGTATTTTTTGTAATTTGTGTTGTATTGGTTGTGATTGTACATTGTATTTTTCTAAATGTGTATGAATACGTTTTTGAAAAACATTTGATCAACAATAAAAAAGGATTTGGTCAGGATCTAGACTCAGTGTGTAGTTTATTAATTAATCAATGCTCTCTACATTAGGAAAACACATACCGGTGTACCAGAGGGAGTCACACACAGCTGTGACTAGATAACCAAAATCCTTGAATCGACACACAGCAAATAAACTCAAATGACAACGAGAAAAAGGAGATCACACATACAGTATAGTCGATATAAAACTGGCCGCTTCAATCTGAAGAGCAACTAAAACAAAACACGGGAGTGTACCTTGTTCTTGTGAACACTAATGTTATCCACAGCATACACAGAGACCACGAAGTTCTTAAGGAGAAAACTAGTTGCTAAAACAAAACACGTTACTGTACCTTGTTAGCTAATGTTAGCTAGCTGACATTAACGTTACACATTGCACTCATATTACTCACCGAAACCTTGTAAAGCCGGTCCCCGCATGCTGGCTCTTACAGAACCGACTAACTCCCCTTTCATATAGGTACAGCTCTCAACGTGCCCAGACTTGTAGTGATTTTCACCTCGTAAAATACTTTTATTCTCATTCTGAAAGAATGTGGTGAAATGTGCTAACGTGACGGCCATCTTTATGTTGGTGACGCGTATTGTGCGAGACGAGAGACCTGTAGTTCACTGAGCGGTTTCACACGAAAAAATGTGTAACTTCACAGTTTTACGACACATTTTTATTTTTTTGACTTGCAAAATGTTCTTTTAAATTGACAAACATCATATGTGTCATTCGTGGCACAATTCAAACGGGATCAAAAGATAACCTTTCTCTCTCCATTGACTTCAATGTATAATTTTCCGCTTCCGGGGTCCCATGGAGGCTTTCGGAAGGGGAGGGACTTCGCCTCTCTATCTTGATTGGGCCAGATTTGACCCCGAGTGACCCACATCAATGCTGCTGGGTATACCCAGACCCGAACACCAACTTGTATACAGTTTTTTTCAGAGACCTTCAGACTTGGCTAAAATTGTCACACTCAGTTTTTCAGTGTTTATATAGCTGTTGTGGAGGATATCATGAAGCCTTGTTCCGATAAAAAAAATTAGAGCGTAGTTATTTTATCATTTCTAACCTGAAACCGAACACAACATAAGGGTCAAAAGAATGACTAGATCAATGAAAACGTGTACATTTCCCATCTTTATGGGATGTTCCTCCTCCTTTTGCCAATGTGTTGGCGAACTTAACCTAATGTGTATCAGTTTACATGATTTAATTAATAGGGAAGTAGATCCATACTTATTACGATGGGGGTTTCAGTTTTTTTAACAACAATCTCAGAAGTCAGGAACACAGACTTTGTTTAACTTCAGTTGTCATCTCCTCATTTGTTTTAGCTTGTGTAGTCCTGATGTGTTTCAGAGAAGTCCCCATATGGTTCGACCCATCGAGTGTAGAGTGTGTGTGTTACATCGTCCTCATATTGTTGGGTAGCAGATATCGTCTTTAGGTTGGGTAGTCCTGATGTGTTTCAGAGAAGTCCCCATATGGTTCGACCCAACGAGTGTAGAGAGTGTGTGTGTTACATCGTCCTCATATTGTTGGGTAGCAGATATTGTACGGTTCAAACTATTTATATAGTCTTGAGTTACAAGCCCAGATCCTCATGTGAATTGTTTTTACTAAAATCTGTGTCCCCTACATGAAAAGTCAATCGATTTCTGACACGTTATTGTTGTATTTTAAATTGCAGACACAGAGTTACATGATCGCAGCTCAGCTTTTAGCTGACTCTGAAGCGAGCCTGATATCCACCTCATCCTTCCTACAGGTAATTAAACATTTACTGTAGACTATATCTATCCAAGGTAAATGCATGTCTCAGTCAAGTACAATGCAAAAGTATAATGCCTTTTTTTACCTAATTAAAATTAATAGGTTGTTTAAAACATTTAGAATGTCAATATAACTGTTAATTGTTTCTAAAAAACATAGTGGAAATATATACCCCTACCATTTGATAGCAGTTAAGAAAGAAATGATCTTTATTGCCCCTAATTTCTGGGTTTTTTCTCCTTTTGTTCTCCAATGTGTTTGCCAACTTAACCTAATGTGTATCAGTTTAGATGATTTAATTAATAGGGAAGTAGATCTATACTTATTACGATGGGGGTTTCAGTTTTTTTAACAACAACAGCACACCTCAAAAGTCAGGAACACTGACTTTTTGTAAATTCAGTCGTCATGTCCTCATTTTGTTTTAGGTTGTGTAGTCTTGATATCTTTCAGAGAACGTCCCATATGGTTCGACCCAACGAGTGTAGAGTGTGTGTGTTACATCGTCCTCATATTGTTGGGTAGCAGATATCGTCTTTAGGTTGGGTAGTCCTGATGTGTTTCAGAGAAGTCCCCATATGGTACAACCCAACGAGTGTAGAGTGTGTGTGTTACATCGTCCTCATATTGTTGGGTAGCAGATATCGTCTTTAGGTTGGGTAGTCCTGATGTGTTTCAGAGAAGTCCCCATATGGTACGACCCAACGAGTGTAGAGTGTGTGTGTTACATCGTCCTCATATTGTTGGGTAGCAGATATCGTCTTTAGGTTGGGTAGTCCTGATGTGTTTCAGAGAAGTCCCCATATGGTACGACCCAACGAGTGTAGAGTGTGTGTGTTACATCGTCCTCATATTGTTGGGTAGCAGATATCGTCTTTAGGTTGGGTAGTCCTGATGTGTTTCAGAGAAGTCCCCATATGGTTCGACCCAACGAGTGTAGAGTGTGTGTGTTACATCGTCCTCATATTGTTGGGTAGCAGATATCGTCTTTAGCTTGTGTAGTCCTGATGTGTTTCAGAGAAGTCCCCATATGGTACGACCCAACGAGTGTAGAGTGTGTGTGTTACATCGTCCTCATATTGTTAGGTAGCAGATATCGTCTTCAGCTTGTGTAGTCCTGATGTGTTTCAGAGAAGTCCCCATATGGTTCAACCCAACGAGTGTAGAGAGTGTGTGTGTTACATCGTCCTCATATTGTTGGGTAGCAGATATTGTACGGTTCAAACTATTTATATAGTCTTGAGTTACAAGCCCAGATCCTCATGTGAATTGTTTTTACTAAAATCTGTGTCCCCTACATGAAAAGTCAATCGATTTCTTACACGTTATTGTTGTATTTTAAATTGCAGACACAGAGTGACATGATCGCAGCTCAGCTTTTAGCTGACTCTGAAGCGAGCCTGATATCCACCTCATCCTTCCTACAGGTAATTAAACATTTACTGTAGACTATATATATCCAAGGTAAATTCATGTCGCAGTCAAGTACAATGCAACTGGTGCCTTTTTGTTTTACCTAATTAAAATTAATAGGTTTTTTAAACCATTTAAAATGTCAATATAACTGTTAATTGTTTCTAAAGACCATAGTGGAAAGATATGCCATTGATAGCAGTAACTACCTCTTATAACAAGTCAAATTATCTTTATTGCCCATAAATTCTGTGTTTTTTCTCCTTTGGTTCTCCCATGTGTTTGCCAACTTAACCTAATGTGTATCAGTTTAGATGATTTCATTAATAGGGAAGTAGATCTATACTTATTACGATGGGGATTTCAGTTTTTTTTAACAACAACAGCACACCTCAGAAGTCAGGAACACAGACTTTGTTTAACTTCAGTCGTCATGTCCTCATTTTGTTTTAGCTTGTGTAGTCCTGATGTGTTTCAGAGAAGTCCCCATATGGTACAACCCATCGAGTGTAGAGTGTGTGTGTTACATCGTCCTCATATTGTTGGGTAGCAGATATCGTCTTTAGCTTGTGTAGTCCTTATGTGTTTCAGAGAACGTCCCCATATGGTTCGACCCAACGAGTGTAGAGTGTGTGTGTTACATCGTCCTCATATTGTTGGGTAGCAGATATTGTACAGTTCAAACTATTTCTATAGAGTCTAGAGTTGCAAAAATCTGTGTCCCCTACATGAAAAGTTAATGGATTTCTTACTGGTTATTGTTGTATTTTAAATTGCAGACACAGAGTGACATGATCGCGGCTCAGCCTTTAGCTGACTCAGAAGCGAGCCTGATATCCACCTCATCCTTCCTACAGGTAATTAAATATTTAACGTAAATTCATGTCTCAATGCAGTCCAATGCATAAATAAAATGCCTTCTCCTTTTTTTATTTTGAAAGGACATGATGCTTTACCTCTCAAAATGTCAAATTAATCAATCAAATCTAAACATTTCAAATAGGATCAATCTTAGAAAAATGTAAGCTTCATCTCATTATACGACCCAAATGTTGTTACGTTTATGTTAAATGGTCCTCATTGTTGTGTCAAGTATACAACAGTGCTATTCAATTATTTGAATATTGTATCATAATTTCCATATACAGTTCTTTGTCATTTCAAACAAATATGCTTCTTCATCCTTTCATTTCAGACAAACAAGTCCAATGGAATTGTACCCTTCCACAAGGTACCTACTGCAGAGCAGGTAAGACAGCTGCTTTACCTCCGTTAGTTGAAATAGTTCCTGTCCTTGTCAACAACTGGTGATATTTACTGTGTGGGGATACATTATAGAATTTAAAGTAAGGCTAAGGTTGTTTTTTATTTGGACAGCTTAGAGCAACCCGTCATCCTCAAAATCTTAAGTGGCATCATGGTCAGTGTGATGATCGATATCATGAGGCTGAAAAAAAGATAACTGAGAAAGAGAGACAACGGACTTTAAGTCTGAGATGCAGAATGAATGTTGATGAGGGTCGATTTCATGATGGAAATCCTGATAGTTTTAGTGACCAGGTAATACATACAAATAGACATCTATAAATACAATTTAAAAAAAATAAAAAAATTCTATTAAGGAATTAAAATCTTGCTTGTCATTTATTTTCAAATTCACATTTTTTCACATTTGCAAAACCTTTGTTATGCACAATTTAAAGATAGCCAAAGGAGAATTATAACCTAGCTATAAATAAATGTTATATTTATTGACTTAATGAGAATATTTGTTTTGTTCCCTCTAGATGTCTAATGACATTGATGAATTGATGGATGAATCTTCAGATGCTACAGACTACGATGATGCTGACTTTGTTCCAGAGTCAAGTTGGAATTCCTCAGACTCAAGTTCTTCTATTAAGGGACTCAAAATCAAAGAAAATCATCTTACCCACAAAGTGAAAAAGTCATTGGGGATCAGTACAGGACAAAGTGGGGATAGTACCACATGTTCAGTGAAACCAAGTTCTTCAAGGATGAGTGGCGGTAATTCTAGTACAGTGACAAGTAGTAGTTCACATTTTTCGGAAAATACATCACCCAAGAAAAGCTCCATAAATGTCACAGCATTACCAAACACTACAAAACAAAAGTACAACAAGAAGCAATATTGTCTGTATTGTAAAAAGGCCATTTCTAAATTGGCAAGACACCTCGAATCCACCCACAGTGAACAGCATGATGTTGCAAAGGCATTCAGTTTTAATAAAAGATCCCGTGAAAGAAGACAGATGTTGCGCTCCCTTAAGAAGAGGGGAAACTTTGACCATAATGCTACCGTTGCAAGCTGTGGTGCTGGAGAAATGGTTGCTTGTCGAAGACCTTCTAAAGAGAAACAATCTGATGACTACCGTCACTGCAAGTTTTGTCAGGGACTCTATGCAAGAGATTGCCTATGGAGACATGTTAAAAACTGCCCTCAGAAGCCTGATGAGGGAGAGCCTCAAGGTGGGCGAAAACGGATCCACCTTGATCTACCAAAACCTGATTCAGTTCAGGAAGTAGTTTGGAAGATTGCCTGTGAAATGAACCAGGATGATATTTCCTCGGTTGTAAGGAGTGAAAGTGACATCCTTAGTCTCGGTGAGTCCATTTACAATGCAAGGAAACCATACGAGAAAAGAAATGATTACATTCGCCAAAAAAATGAGAGAGATGGCAAGACTTTTAATAACAGCAAGAGCAATAGGTCCTTTGAAAAGAGCCGAAGATCTTGTTATGCCCAGTAACTTTCCCCACATGATACAAGCTGTTAGAGAGGTTGCTGGTTATGAGTTGGGAAGCAACTCATATAAAATTCCATCTTTGGCTCTTAAATTGGGGCACAGTTTGGCCAAACTTGCAGGCATTGTGCAATGCAATGCTATCATTGCAAATCGCCATGCTGTTGCAGAGTCTGCCAAGCAATTTGCCATTATTTACGAGAAAAGATGGACAGAGTCCATTTCAGGTGCTGCATTAGGTACACTTCAACAGGCCAAATGGAATAAACCACAAGTGTTGCCCTTTACAAGTGATGTGTGTCTGCTGCACAAGTTACTATCTACTGAGCGTGCTCAGTGCATGAAGGACCTTCCGGAAGAACCGAATAGCCAAAGCTTTGGAAATCTTGCTCAAGTTACTTTGACACAGATAGTGCTCTTTAACAGAAAAAGACAGGGGGAAGTATCAAAAATGGAGCTCCAGACATTCACATCCAGGAATCGTACGGAGTTGAATCCTGACGTTATGATGGGCCTAACCGAGTTTGAAAAGACTCTTACAAAGTACTTTGATAGAGTTGAGATTCGGGGTAAAAGGTCAAGGATGGTGCCTGTGCTTCTCACACCTGAAATGATTGCTGCAATGAACTTACTTGTGGAAAAGAGAAATGAGTGTCAAATCCACACAGACAATGCATACTTGTTTGCACGCCCAGGTGGTCTTTCCCATTACAGGGGCTCTGACTGCTTTCGCAAGTATGCGAACCAATCTGGTGCGAAAAACCCAGAGGCACTCACCTCAACAAGATTGCGGAAACAAGTCGCCACTTTGTCCACAGTACTTAACCTCAAGGAAAACGAAATGGATCAACTTGCCACCTTTCTAGGACATGACATTCGTGTCCACAGAGAATTCTACCGTCTTCCAGAAAGTACCCTGCAACTTGCAAAAGTCAGCAAGTTGCTGATAGCAATGGAAAAAGGAAGACTGTCTGACCTGCAGGGGAAAGGGCTGGATGACATAGAGATCAATCCTGAAGGTAACATCAACAACCAAAGTTCCTTCTGGATCTTAAATAATCTCTAATGTTCTCAGTCCCATACTAAAACCCTTTTTTTTTACCTTACCAGATGAAGTAAGCACGAGTGATGATGAAACTGGTGAAGAATCCATTGCTGACATACATCAAAACATAGGTATCCTGACCCCTTAATATAATTAAGTAATAAAAAAAGACACAGTTAATAGGAAACCCGATAAAATTGTTAGATGTGCTGTAAGGCGTTACAGCGGTAAATCAATTACAGAAGATGGAAGACAATATCCATGAGTACAGTGCTGAATGATTTTGAATCATTGATAGCAGCTTTGTATAGGGATCCATTTCACTTTGTTAAAGGGATGTTCAGCCAAGTAAAGGAGGTAACCTTAAAGTTTTAAAGTAATATGTACTATAGCAAATAATATTTAGCACACTCACTCATATAGAGAAAAGAATAGAAGGATACACCTTCCTCCTGAAATTAGGACAAGATAAGGAAACTCTAGCACAAGGAAGTTCTATGTGTGTGTGGAAGGCTAATATGGAGGGTTGTGGTTCTGTGAGCCGGAGCTAACTGTTGAGCCTTCCCGAGGTGTGATGGGCCTAATGATGAAACACCAGTGAAGAAAGGTGCCCAATTGATAACCCTAGTGATATGCTATTGGTAGATGTCCTACCTACCTTTACACTGTTTGTAGTGGCCATGTCAAGGGTTGTGTATTATATTATAATGTATCCTTTTAGATTCCCAGAAGAACACAACACTTCACTTGGCTTCAAACAAAGCTTCCTCAAAGTGCTCAAATGGAAAGCAAGGTAATAAGCACTTTGTATTTACATTACTCTACTACAAAAATGTATTGATCTTAAATGGATTTCTAAAAGAACATTTCTAGTTTTTTGTACAACTAATGTGCTTTACATTACATGCCAACATTTACCCATTCACACGCAAATTCATGCACTGATGGCAGAGGCCATGCTATCATTTAATTACAAACTATAATCTTTTCTATCATATCTCCCATTTTTCACTTTCACAGAGCAATTTTTCAAATACATTGTGTTTTGTTTCCATTTATGACAGCTGGGAAGATGAGAAGCAAGTGGACAGGTGAAGAGGTGAAGGCTGTTGAGCGGCATTTGTTTGACTTGATAACAAGCTGCAGAGTACCTGGGAAAAAGGACTGTGACTCCTGTCTCAAAGCAGAGCCAGTAGCTCTGAAAGACAGGGACTGGGTTGCAGTCAAGTATTACACCCACAACAGAATCATCGCCTTAAAAAGGAAGATGAATTCATAGAACTATAACATGCCAACTTGCTCTGTGGTACACATTTTTTTTTTTAAATAAGATTTGTTGTTTATTAAAATGTTAATCTGTTGACAAGAATCCATGAGGAATTTTAATGTGTGTTATAACCTCCCTCTCGTTGTCACTTTCAACCACTAGAAGGTTTGAGATTATATGTTATACTATGTTCTGTCTCAACAAGCAATAAAGACCCTAAAGAGAAAGTTGCTCATTCCTTTCAACCCATATCTACCTCACACAATGGAGGATAGGGGGTAAAGTGGCTGGGTTGTGGGTGGTCTATTTTGGGTGTAAAAAAAGGTTGTTTTACAATTTATATGACCAAATAATTGGTTGTTAGGTTCAAAGTCGACAAACAATGTTTTAAAATTGTTGCCACTAGTCTTTATCATAGCACGGAAATGATGAACCCAACTCTGGCAACAATAATTCTCACCGACATCTTTTGTACTTCAAAAGCACTACATTTTGGATAGTTGACATAATCCTTTGAGTTTTAGTTGACTAAGAATTCTTTAATCAAAGGCATCGCCTTTCACCACGGTTCTATCTTAATGCAACATGAATCAAGCATAATATCCTTAATGCCCGGTAAAGGAATAGTCATGAGGGCACCCTCTGTTTTTTTCTTATTTTCTCCTATTCTGGTTTATACTTCAATTTATATATTTTGCCAGCAATTCATTAAATGTAGAAATAAATAAAGTGTTTCATCCTTCTTTTCACATAAACGTTTATGAGAGAATTTGTAACTAGAAAAATATTAAGACTTTAAGAGTAAACTGACCACAATTAAATGGTATATACCTTTTTAACTTAACTTAGTTATGTTTCTGGACTGCTCAGTTTTAATATGTTGTATCAACAAGTTCATATTAATAGACTTTTCGTGTCAGAGGTTACCTGACTGGCGAACATGAGTAATTATTTAATGTTGACATTTTAGTTTTTTAATGTACACCGATGCTTCTTATGCAGATATTTCAAACATAAGTAATAAAGGCAAAGTTGCAAATACAGACTATTTTGTGTATTACTGGGTCTTCATAAGTCCCTTAAACTGGAAAATGTAGTGTGTGTCTATGGGGTCACAATTCATATAAACATGAAATATCAGTGTTTGTTGCTAACGGGCTCACAAGTCACATAAACCTGTAAATGTCCTCAGAAGTAGTATTAAAATCAGGTCTCCGCAAAATATAGGATTAGACAAGATCTCAACAGATGGATGTCTTCCAAGAAGCATGGATATTAATTACTTTTATTCCCAGGTCCCTAGGACCTTTGGAAAGACATGTCCCCATTTGTCACGTTTTTTTCACAAGTCCTGCTATGTCCTATAAACACGTATGTGTGTGTGTGTGTGTGTGTGTGCGCATCTGTAGCCTGTTATTGTCTCATGACACCGCACTGTGAATGAATCAAAGTAAATATAGAAGTCATCATGAACACATCTGTCCATCAGACAGAGGGCTGCTGCCTCCTGTCATCATTAATGGACATCTCTTTCAAATGACCGCTCAGAGGAGAGGAGTTCTCATTTCGCTAACCGCCTGCTGCTTCCCCTCCTCTCTCCTCGGTTCCCCTCCTCGACTCCTCCGCTCGCATCTCCTGTGGGCAGCACCAAGTCTCGAGGATAGGAGTCGAGGAGGGGAAATTTGAGTATTGAGAAACCTCTTGAGAGTCAGGTGTTCAGGGTCCCTCTGAGAGTCAGGTGTGTTCAGGTTCATCTTATAGAGTCAGGTGTGTTCAGGTTCATCTTATAGAGTCAGGTGTTCAGGGTCCCTCTGAGAGTCAGGTGTGTTCAGGTTCATTTTATAGAGTCAGGTGTTCAGGGTCCCTCTGAGAGTCAGGTGTGTTCAGGTTCATTTTATAGAGTCAGGTGTTCAGGGTCCCTCTGAGAGTCAGGTGTTCAGGTTCATCTTATAGAGTCAGGTGTGTTCAGGTTCATCTTATAGAGTCAGGTGTTCAGGGTCCCTCTGAGAGTCAGGTGTGTTCAGGTTCATCTTATAGAGTCAGGTGTTCAGGGTCCCTCTGAGAGTCAGGTGTTCAGGTTCATCTTATAGAGTCAGGTGTCTTCAGGTTCATCTTATAGAGTCAGGTGTTCAGGGTCCCTCTGAGAGTCAGGTGTGTTCAGGTTCATCTTATAGAGTCAGGTGTTCAGGGTCCCTCTGAGAGTCAGGTGTGTTCAGGTTCATCTTATAGAGTCAGGTGTTCAGGGTCCCTCTGAGAGTCAGGTGTTCAGGGTCCCTCTGAGAGTCAGGTGTGTTCAGGTTCATCTTATAGAGTCAGGTGAGTTCAGGGTCCCTCAGAGAGTCAGGTGTGTTCAGGGTCGTCTCATCGCTCAGGTGAGTTCAGGGTCCTCTGAGAGTCAGGTGTTCAGGTTCCTCTCATTGCTCAGGTGAGTTCAGGGTCCTCTGAGAGTCAGGTCTTTTCAGGGTCCTGTTATAGAGTCAGGTGAGTTCAGGGTCCCTCAGAGAGTCAGGTGTGTTCAGGGTCGTCTCATCGCTCAGCTGAGTTCAGGGTCCTCTGAGAGTCAGGTGTTCAGGTTCCTCTCATTGCTCAGGTGAGTTCAGGGTCCTCTGATAGTCAGGTGTTTTCAGGGTCCTGTTATAGAGTCAGGTGTGTTCAGGGTCCTGTTATAGAGTCAGGTGTGTTCAGGGTCCTCTTATAGAGTCAGGTGTGTTCAGGGTCCTGTTATAGAGTCAGGTGTGTTCAGGGTCCTCTTATAGAGTCAGGTGTGTTCGGGGTCCTCTTATAGAGTCAGGTGTGTTCAGGGTCCTCTTATAGAGTCAGGTGTGTTCAGGGTCCTGTTATAGAGTCAGGTGTGTTCAGGGTCCTCTTATAGAGTCAGGTGTGTTCAGGGTCCTGTTATAGAGTCAGGTGTGTTCAGGGTCCTCTTATAGAGTCAGGTGTGTTCGGGGTCCTCTTATAGAGTCAGGTGTGTTCGGGGTCCTCTTATAGAGTCAGGTGTGTTCGGGGTCCTCTTATAGAGTCAGGTGTGTTCGGGGTCCTCTTATGCGGCTTTCACACCAGCGCTTTTCCCTTTCTAGCTCCGAGCTAGAGCTTTTCTGATTCAGCTCCGGTTTCCCTTTTCTGCTCCCGCTCTGTTCACGCCGCCCAGAGCCCGACTGGTGCTGCCGCTGCTGCGTCATGACGTCACCGTTTACATCGCTGATTTGCTCCCCAACGGCGTTACGGCGCTCACAACAACAACAACTGCGTCGGGTCGATGATCGTGTTGCTTTTAATCACACGAAGCCAGAATAAATTGAATAACGACTTCTCCAACCTTATACTTTGCTCCAGAGTGCCGTAGTTCATTGTTTATTAATGTGTTTCTGCAGCATTTACCGACCGCTGCAGTGCTGCTCTTCCACAGGAGTTTATTCTCCTCCGTTAGCTCCCGGTTAGCTCACACTGCAGCGGCCGCTCTAAAGTATTCACTGTCCGACTCACACAAGCAGCTGATACATATCCCCAGTTCCCCTTAGCCTAAGTGAATGTGTGTCAGTCTGAATTGACGCTGTTTGGTATCACAACGCTGTTATGAAAGTTTCTCTGGTATAAAACGGGTGATGTTAGCATAGCAACCGAAGCTAAACTGACTACTTGCTATTGCTATCCTATTGTGGCATAAACCGTTTTCTACAGGCACATTTTACCGGCGTATTTTTATTATGATTCTACTTGTGATAGTCGGATACGACAACCTGTGCAGCCCATGTATTGATTCCATCCGATAGCTGCTATAATACAAAACAACACGTCTGCCTCTCTCCACAATGATCAATAACAATGAACGGATGGTCAAAGTAAGGTACAAATAAACAGAATCACACGAAGCCTGGTTAGTCCTGCCTGACTTTAGAAAGTGTGTTTATAAGCACTACTGCTTGTAGGCAGGCATGACAGTCGACCCATGTTCAGGGGAGGTGGGTTTAGTTTGCTGCACGCCTCGACGTAAGAGAGATGTAAGCGACGCCACCTCTTAGCTCCGAAGCTCTTGCCTCTAGACCGACAATTTTTTGGAGCTGGAAGTGAACCGGATTCCGGAGCTAAGAGCCGGCGCCGCTGCGGTGTGAACAGGAAAAACCGGCGCTTTTTAGGCTCCAGCTCCGAGCTGGAGCTGAAAAAGCGCTGGTGTGAAAGGGGCATCTTAGAGTCAGGTGTGTTCGGGGTCCTCTTATAGAGTCAGGTGAGTTCAGGGTCCTCTTATAGAGTCAGGTGTGTTCGGGGTCCTGTTATAGAGTCAGGTGAGTTCAGGGTCCTCTTATAGAGTCAGGTGTGTTCGGGGTCCTCTTATAGAGTCAGGTGTGTTCGGGGTCCTGTTATAGAGTCAGGTGAGTTCAGGGTCCTCTTATAGAGTCAGGTGTGTTCGGGGTCCTGTTATAGAGTCAGGTGAGTTCAGGGTCCTCTTATAGAGTCAGGTGTGTTCGGGGTCCTGTTATAGAGTCAGGTGAGTTCAGGGTCCTCTTATAGAGTCAGGTGTGTTCGGGGTCCTCTTATAGAGTCAGGTGTGTTCAGGGTCCTGTTATAGAGTCAGGTGAGTTCAGGGTCCTCTTATAGAGTCAGGTGTGTTCGGGGTCCTCTTATAGAGTCAGGTGAGTTCAGGGTCCTCTTATAGAGTCAGGTGTGTTCGGGGTCCTCTTATAGAGTCAGGTGAGTTCAGGGTCCTCTTATAGAGTCAGGTGTGTTCGGGGTCCTCTTATAGAGTCAGGTGAGTTCAGGGTCCTCTTATAGAGTCAGGTGAGTTCAGGGTCCTCTTATAGAGTCAGGTGTGTTCGGGGTCCTCTTATAGAGTCAGGTGAGTTCAGGGTCCTCTTATAGAGTCAGGTGAGTTCAGGGTCCTCTTATAGAGTCAGGTGTGTTCAGGGTCCTCTTATAGAGTCAGGTGTGTTCGGGGTCCTCTTATAGAGTCAGGTGTGTTCAGGGTCCTCTTATAGAGTCAGGTGTGTTCGGGGTCCTCTTATAGAGTCAGGTGTGTTCAGGTTCCTCTGATAGAGTCGTACAGGTGAGTTTCAGGGGTTTTCTCTGTGTGTGCTTCAGGTGCTGATGTCCCAGTCAGTGGTTCTGGCTCTCAGCCCGTTTGCAGTGACCTGTGTGATCTGCGCTCTGGGGAACTTCCTGCTGCCGATCGAGACTCGAGGACGAGCTCTGCTGGTGAGAGACACTATTAACGAGTGGGCCGGGCATTGTGGGTAAAATTACCTAAAGTTAACGAGAATTTTTAGAATGTTTTAATTTATAATTGTTTGTTTATCTGATAAAGTTACAACTTTAATTTCACCAAATATCTTTGAAATGCAGCACAATGAGACAATATTTGAAGCGTCTGGTATTTTTATTGACTTTTTAATCGTATGCGAGTTAAACATTTCAATGCCCATGTTTTCTTGTAATTTAGAAATGTTCAATATTAGAAAAGATTTTGATTTGTTCATTTAGAAAAAGATTCTCATAATTCAACAACTTTTTAAAAAAATTCCGCAATTCTATCAGTATTTTATTTTTATACTTTTCTATTTGAATTGTTTAGAGTCGGAGAGGTCCTGATAATTTATTCCGGTAAATTACTCTGACCTACTAATTGACCTGACCGAAGTTATTGAGTCTATGTAAGGTTGCTGCTTGGCTCAGATCCACCAACGTCAGCAAGATCTCACCTCTACCTAACCCCCCGAAGAACCAGGTTCAATTAACTGCTGTTTCAATTCAGACAACTCTTTTTTAATCTGTTTAAGGGATCCCGAAGGATTTTGATATCAGTAAATGGAGTGTGCTCCTACCTAAGTGTGTGTGGCAGGGTGCAGTCTTACCTTTGAAGCAGGAGAGGAGAGCACAGGTGTCTTTTAAATTATCCCAATCCAACAGGTGGGATTCAGTTTATTTGAAGAAAAATAGGTCCAAACTAATACAGGGTTTTTACCTTCTCTCTTTACAACATTATAATCATACTAAAAACCTGGTGCTGTGATCATGTTCAAATATGAAACTTTAATTCACAGTCTTACATTTATTACCAAAATGTTTTAATTTCAACTGCCCCATTCAGTTGTGACATTTTAAAATTCTCCCGATAGAATTTAGAGGTATTTCCTCGTAAAAAGACCGGTGACCATAAAAAGTGCATTCAACTTTCCATTCACCAATCAATTCACATCAGTTTCATACCGTTTTTTCCGACACAGACGGCGGGTATAACATTCAAAAACACATTCCTATCCGCCAAGGTTTCGGAGGAAGATTTCCTCACAGGTCGCGGGTTACAATATTCATACACTTTTTCCGACACAGACGGCGGATTAACCTTTCAAAAACACATTCCTATCCGCCAAGGTTTCGGAGGAAGAAGGTCCTCACGGGTCGCGGGTTATAATATTCACAAACACATCTCTCATCAAATCATTCCACTCAGCCAACAACCAAGAAATTCGAGAGATATTTACCCCGTCTGGGAGAACCTTACCGAGAGCTAGTTACCCAGTTTGAGAGCACACAGCCTACCGGGAGAGAGTCTACCAGGGGAAAACCCCCCCTCTCTCTCACGCTCTCTCAAAAAACCAGTCTCTTTATGCTAAAAAAACTGGATCGAAACCCCAAAAAACAAACTCCTCCTCTACACCCAATTTGTGGAAAACTGCGCATGCCCTGTAATGTACAAGGCTGGACATGACCCGACATGTTCCATAGCTTTATGACATAAGACCCACCTTCTCATGTTAGTGTGAAAAGGACATGAACTATTTTTGACCTCTGTGTTTCTCCTTAAGCCTGTAGCCCCCCTCCCTGTGTACTGCTGTCACAGGAGAGGAAGAAAACTCAACCTAAACAAACCACTTTGTTTTGTTTATACTGTAACTATAGAAAAACCTAAAATATGAATCATTTTCATTGTGGGTTATACAAGAATATAATTGATTATATTTGATTATAACTAACTTTCATTTTTAAGTATTAAACATACTATGAAAACTCACAACAGAATCCTCAAGATTTATTTATTTTCCTACAAAAGCCTGAAATATATTTTAAAATATCAGTTTTATTCAAAATGTTGAAACCTTTATTTCTGTGTTTTCAGCAGAACTCCTGACGACGTCGGCCGACGAACAAACCGTTTTATTTTGTATTAAATCTGAGGCTCGTAAATAAACGCTGCTATTGAACGAGTTTCTGATAAATGATCAATAATATAATAATATGTATCTCAAGTTGTTTTATTTAAACGCAAGGCACCTTATTGACATTTAAATAACGTTTTTCTGACGTTTTTGGCAGAAAGTTTATATCATGAAAATGTTTTTAAAATATCTGAAAAATATAAAATCTGAATAAAAACTCCTGAGAAACTAAAGTCTTTCATAATTTATGAAACGTCCTGGTGGTGGCGCTGCTGCAGGAAGAGAAGAAGAAGGTCAGAGCTCGTTAAGCTCGTTAGCTCGTTAGCGTGGATACAGATTAGTGTGTGTGTGTGTGTGTGTGTGTGTGTGTGTGTGTGTGTGTGTGTGTTGTGTGTGTGTGTGTGTGTGTGTGTGTGTGTGTGTGTGTGTGTGTGTGTGTGTGTGTGTGTGTGTGTGTGTGTGTGTGTGTGTGTGTGTGTGTGTGTGAGATTAGAGTGGATTTAGACGTCGGCTGCAGAGGGAGAGCGGCTCGGAGACGTGAGTAAAACACCGATCATTTCACGCATTTACATTAAAACTGTGTGTGTGTTTACAGGGTCATTATGGAGTGTGTATTTTAAATACTAGAAGATTACTTTTTATTTTAAATCAAAGACAGGAAGTGTATGAGGGAAAGTTAAATAAATAAAAAGTTGTTTTACACAATCAAGAAAACATTTAAAACATAATATTAAATAATATTTTAGACGCGTTTAGCAGAAGAATATTAATGCCTATTTATATGAATACATATTCAAACATACTGTGTGTGTGTGTGTGTGTGTGTGTGTGTGTGTGTGTGTGTGTGTGTGTGTGTGTGTGTGTGTGTGTGTGTGTGTGTGTGTGTGTGTGTGTGTGTGTGTGTGTGTGTGCTGATAGAGCTGCGGTATGTGAAGCTCTTTGTTTCCATTCAGTGTGATTGTGACACACACACGTTGTTGTTTAAGTCCTCCAAGACTGAGCTGGATCCCATCAGTGACATCATCATCAGTGACATCATCATCAGGTGACGCGCCCTTCAATGGTGCCCTGCAGCCTCCGGGGTTGCCATGGGAGACGAGTCATACCCAGAATACCGAGCGCAGCAGCTGTTTGACGGCTTCGTGTCGGCGGCGTCCTGCAGGGCGGCGCTGTGGAGCTTCAGTCAGCTGACCGACCTGCTGCAGCTGGGGAGGGAGGAGCCTCCTTATCGACCAATCAGACGCCAGCTCGGCTACTGGAGGGCCGACGCTCTGGGGGCCAAACTGGAGAGGAGGGCGGCGAGGCCGGAGTACCAGGGGCCCAGCAGAAAGACCACCGTACGTATTACTGCTGGGTCCCTGAAGGCAGCATTGTTAGGACGTATTACTGCTGGGTCCATGAAGCCAGCATCGTTAGGACGTATTACTGATGGGTCCCTGAAGGCAGCATCGTTAGGACATATTACTCATGGGTCCCTGAAGGCAGCATCGTTAGGACATATTACTGTAGAGTCCCTGAAGGCAGCATCGTTAGGACGTATTACTGTAGAGTCCCTGATGGCAGCATCGTTAGGACGTATTACTGCAGAGTCCCTGAAGGCAGCATCGTTAGGACGTATTACTGCTGGGTCCCTGATGGCAGCATCGTTAGGACGTATTAATGCTTGGTCCCTGAAGGCAGCATCGTTAGGACGTATTACTGTAGAGTCCCTGAAGTCAGCATCATTAGGACGTATTACTGCTGGGTCCCAGAAGGCAGCATCGTTAGGACGTATTACTGTAGAGGAACTAGTTATCTTTACCAGTAGAGGAACTAGTTATCTTTACCTGTAGAGGAACTAGTTATCTTTACCAGTAGAGGAACTAGTTATATTTACCAGTAGAGGAACTAGTTATCTTTACCAGTAGAGGAACTAGTTATCTTTACCAGTAGAGGAACTAGTTATCTTTACCTGTAGAGGAACTAGTTATCTTTACCAGTAGATGAACTAGTTATCTTTACCAGTAGAGGAACTAGTTATCTTTACCAGTAGAGGAACTAGTTATCTTTACCAGTAGATGAACTAGTTATATTTACCAGTAGAGGAACTAGTTATCTTTACCAGTAGAGGAACTAGTTATCTTTACCAGTAGAGGAACTAGTTATCTTTACCAGTAGAGGAACTAGTTATCTTTACCTGTAGAGGAACTAGTTATCTTTACCAGTAGAGGAACTAGTTATATTTACCAGTAGAGGAACTAGTTATCTTTACCAGTAGAGGGACTAGTTATATTTACCAGTAGAGGAACTAGTTATCTTTACCTGTAGAGGGACTAGTTATATTTACCAGTAGAGGAACTAGTTATATTTACCAGTAGATGAACTAGTTATCTTTACCAGTAGAGGAACTAGTTATCTCTACCAGTAGAGGAACTAGTTATCTTTACCAGTGGAATAACTAGTTATCTTTACCAGTGGAAGAACTAGTTATATTTACCAGTAGAGGAACTAGTTATCTTTACCAGTAGAGGAACTAGTTATCTCTACCAGTAGAGGAACTAGTTATCTTTGCCTGTAGAGGAACTAGTTATCTTTACCAGTAGAGGAACTAGTTATCTTTACCAGTAGAGGGACTAGTTATATTTACCAGTGGAAGAACTCGTTATCTTTGCCTGTAGAGGAACTAGTTATCTTTACCAGTAGAGGGACTAGTTATATTTACCAGTAGAGGAACTAGTTATATTTACCTGTAGAGGAACTAGTTATATTTACCAGTAGAGGAACTAGTTATCTTTACCAGTAGAGGAACTAGTTATCTCTACCAGTAGAGGAACTAGTTATCTTTGCCTGTAGAGGAACTAGTTATCTTTACCAGTAGAGGAACTAGTTATCTCTACCAGTAGAGGAACTAGTTATCTTTACCAGTAGAGGGACTAGTTATATTTACCAGTGGAATAACTAGTTATCTTTGCCTGTAGAGGAACTAGTTATCTTTACCAGTAGAGGGACTAGTTATATTTACCAGTAGAGGAACTAGTTATCTTTACCTGTAGAGGGACTAGTTATATTTACCAGTAGAGGAACTAGTTATATTTACCAGTAGAGGAACTAGTTATCTTTACCAGTAGAGGAACTAGTTATCTCTACCAGTAGAGGAACTAGTTATCTTTACCAGTAGAGGGACTAGTTATATTTACCAGTGGAAGAACTAGTTATCTTTACCAGTAGAGGAACTAGTTATCTTTACCAGTAGAGGGACTAGTTATATTTACCAGTGGAAGAACTAGTTATCTTTACCAGTAGAGGAACTAGTTATCTTTACCAGTAGAAGAACTAGTTATCTCTACCAGTAGAGGAACTAGTTATCTTTACCAGTAGAGGGACTAGTTATATTTACCAGTGGAATAACTAGTTATCTTTTACCTGTAGAGGAACTAGTTATATTTACCAGTGGAAGAACTAGTTATCTTTACCTGTAGAGGGACTAGTTATATTTACCAGTAGAGGAACTAGTTATCTTTACCAGTAGAGGAACTAGTTATCTTTACCTGTAGAGGATCTAGTTATCTGTTACCTGTAGAGGAACTAGTTATCTCTACCAGTAGAGGAACTAGTTATATTTACCTGTAGAGGAACTAGTTATCTTTACCTGTAGAGGAACTAGTTATCTTTACCAGGAACTAGTTATCTTTACCAGTAGACGAACTAGTTATATTTACCAGTAGAGGAACTAGTTATCTTTACCAGTAGAGGAACTAGTTATATTTACCAGTAGAGGAACTAGTTATCTTTACCTGTAGAGGAACTAGTTATCTTTACCAGTAGATGAACTAGTTATATTTACCAGTAGAGGAACTAGTTATCTTTACCAGTAGAGGAACTAGTTATCTTTACCTGTAGAGGAACTAGTTATCTTTACCAGTAGAGGAACTAGTTATATTTACCAGTAGAGGAACTAGTTATCTTTACCTGTAGAGGAACTAGTTATCTTTACCAGTAGATGAACTAGTTATCTTTACCAGTAGAGGAACTAGTTATCTTTACCAGTAGAGGAACTAGTTATCTTTACCTGTAGAGGAACTATTTATCTTTACCAGTAGATGAACTAGTTATATTTACCAGTAGAGGAACTAGTTATCTTTACCAGTAGAGGAACTAGTTATCTTTACCAGTAGAGGAACTAGTTATCTTTACCTGTAGAGGAACTAGTTATCTTTACCAGTAGAGGAACTAGTTATCTTTACCTGTAGAGGAACTAGTTATCTTTACCAGTAGAGGAAACTAGTTATATTTACCAGTAGAGGAACTAGTTATCTTTACCAGTAGAGGGACTAGTTATATTTACCAGTAGAGGAACTAGTTATCTTTACCTGTAGAGGGACTAATTATCTTTACCAGTAGAGGAACTAGTTATCTCTACCAGTAGAGGAACTAGTTATCTTTACCAGTGGAAGAACTAGTTATCTTTACCAGTAGAGGAACTAGTTATCTCTACCAGTAGAGGAACTAGTTATCTTTGCCTGTAGAGGAACTAGTTATATTTACCAGTAGAGGAACTAGTTATCTCTACCAGTAGAGGAACTAGTTATCTTTACCAGTAGAGGGACTAGTTATATTTACCAGTGGAAGAACTAGTTATCTTTGCCTGTAGAGGAACTAGTTATCTTTACCAGTAGAGGGACTAGTTATATTTACCAGTAGAGGAACTAGATATCTTTAACTGTAGAGGAACTAGTTATATTTACCAGTAGAGGAACTAGTTATCTTTACCAGTAGAGGAACTAGTTATCTCTACCAGTAGAGGAACTAGTTATCTTTGCCTGTAGAGGAACTAGTTATCTCTACCAGTAGAGGAACTAGTTATCTTTACCAGTAGAGGGACTAGTTATATTTACCAGTGGAAGAACTAGTTATCTTTGCCTGTAGAGGAACTAGTTATCTTTACCTGTAGAGGGACTAGTTATATTTACCAGTAGAGGAACTAGTTATATTTACCAGTAGAGGAACTAGTTATCTTTACCAGTAGAGGAACTAGTTATCTCTACCAGTAGAGGAACTAGTTATCTTTACCAGTAGAGGGACTAGTTATATTTACCAGTGGAAGAACTAGTTATATTTACCAGTAGAGGAACTAGTTATCTTTACCAGTAGAATAACTAGTTATCTCTACCAGTAGAGGAACTAGTTATCTTTACCAGTAGAGGGACTAGTTATATTTACCAGTGGAATAACTAGTTATCTTTACCTGTAGAGGAACTAGTTATATTTACCAGTGGAAGAACTAGTTATCTTTACCTGTAGAGGGACTAGTTATATTTACCAGTAGAGGAACTAGTTATCTTTACCAGTAGAGGAACTAGTTATCTTTACCTGTAGAGGATCTAGTTATCTGTTACCTGTAGAGGAACTAGTTATCTCTACCAGTAGAGGAACTAGTTATATTTACCTGTAGAGGAACTAGTTATCTTTACCTGTAGAGGAACTAGTTATCTTTACCAGGAACTAGTTATCTTTACCAGTAGACGAACTAGTTATATTTACCAGTAGAGGAACTAGTTATCTTTACCAGTAGAGGAACTAGTTATCTTTACCAGTAGAGGAACTAGTTATCTTTACCTGTAGAGGAACTAGTTATCTTTACCAGTAGATGAACTAGTTATCTTTACCAGTAGAGGAACTAGTTATCTTTACCAGTAGAGGAACTAGTTATCTTTACCTGTAGAGGAACTATTTATCTTTACCAGTAGAGGAACTAGTTATATTTACCAGTAGAGGAACTAGTTATCTTTACCAGTAGAGGAACTAGTTATCTTTACCTGTAGAGGAACTAGTTTTCTTTACCAGTAGAGGAACTAGTTATCTTTACCTGTAGAGGAACTAGTTATCTTTACCAGTAGAGGAACTAGTTATATTTACCAGTAGAGGAACTAGTTATCTTTACCAGTAGAGGGACTAGTTATATTTACCAGTAGAGGAACTAGTTATCTTTACCTGTAGAGGGACTAATTATCTTTACCAGTAGAGGAACTAGTTATCTCTACCAGTAGAGGAACTAGTTATATTTACCAGTGGAAGAACTAGTTATCTTTACCAGTAGAGGAACTAGTTATCTCTACCAGTAGAGGAACTAGTTATCTTTGCCTGTAGAGGAACTAGTTATATTTACCAGTAGAGGAACTAGTTATCTCTACCAGTAGAGGAACTAGTTATCTTTACCAGTAGAGGGACTAGTTATATTTACCAGTGGAAGAACTAGTTATCTTTGCCTGTAGAGGAACTAGTTATCTTTACCAGTAGAGGGACTATTTATATTTACCAGTAGAGGAACTAGATATCTTTAACTGTAGAGGAACTAGTTATATTTACCAGTAGAGGAACTAGTTATCTTTACCAGTAGAGGAACTAGTTATCTCTACCAGTAGAGGAACTAGTTATCTTTACCAGTAGAGGGACTAGTTATATTTACCAGTGGAAGAACTAGTTATCTTTGCCTGTAGAGGAACTAGTTATCTTTACCAGTAGAGGGACTAGTTATATTTACCAGTAGAGGAACTAGTTATCTTTACCAGTGGAATAACTAGTTATTTTTACCTGTAGAGGAACTAGTTATATTTACCAGTGGAAGAACTAGTTATCTTTACCTGTAGAGGGACTAGTTATATTTACCAGTAGAGGAACTAGTTATCTTTACCAGTAGATGAACTAGTTATCTTTACCTGTAGAGGATCTAGTTATCTGTTACCTGTAGAGGAACTAGTTATCTCTACCAGTAGAGGAACTAGTTATCTCTACCAGTAGAGGAACTAGTTATATTTACCCGTAGAGGAACTAGTTATCTTTACCTGTAGAGGAACGAGTTATCTTTACCAGTAGAGGAACTAGTTATCTTTACCTGTAGAGGAACTAGTTATCTTTACCAGTAGAGGAACTAGTTATATTTACCAGTAGAGGAACTAGTTATCTTTACCAGTAGAGGAACTAGTTATCTTTACCAGTAGAGGAACTAGTTATCTTTACCAGTAGAGGAACTAGTTATCTTTACCTGTAGAGGATCTAGTTATCTGTTACCTGTAGAGGAACTAGTTATCTCTACCAGTAGAGGAACTAGTTATATTTACCTGTAGAGGAACTAGTTATCTTTACCTGTAGAGGAACTGGTTATCTTTACCAGGAACTAGTTATCTTTACCAGTAGACGAACTAGTTATATTTACCAGTAGAGGAACTAGTTATCTTTACCAGTAGAGGAACTAGTTATCTTTACCAGTAGAGGAACTAGTTATCTTTACCTGTAGAGGAACTAGTTATATTTACCAGTAGAGGAACTAGTTATCTTTACCAGTAGAGGAACTAGTTATCTTTACCTGTAGAGGAACTAGTTATCTTTACCAGTAGAGGAACTAGTTATATTTACCAGTAGAGGAACTAGTTATCTTTACCTGTAGAGGAACTAGTTATCTTTACCAGTAGATGAACTAGTTATCTTTACCAGTAGAGGAACTAGTTATCTTTACCAGTAGAGGAACTAGTTATCTTTACCTGTAGAGGAACTATTTATCTTTACCAGTAGATGAACTAGTTATATTTACCAGTAGAGGAACTAGTTATCTTTACCAGTAGAGGAACTAGTTATCTTTACCAGTAGAGGAACTAGTTATCTTTACCTGTAGAGGAACTAGTTATCTTTACCAGTAGAGGAACTAGTTATCTTTACCTGTAGAGGAACTAGTTATCTTTACCAGTAGAGGAACTAGTTATATTTACCAGTAGAGGAACTAGTTATCTTTACCAGTAGAGGGACTAGTTATCTTTACCAGTAGAGGAACTAGTTATCTTTACCTGTAGAGGGACTAATTATCTTTACCAGTAGAGGAACTAGTTATCTCTACCAGTAGAGGAACTAGTTATCTTTACCAGTGGAAGAACTAGTTATCTTTACCAGTAGAGGAACTAGTTATCTCTACCAGTAGAGGAACTAGTTATCTCTACCAGTAGAGGAACTAGTTATCTTTACCAGTAGAGGGACTAGTTATATTTACCAGTGGAAGAACTAGTTATCTTTGCCTGTAGAGGAACTAGTTATCTTTACCAGTAGAGGAACTAGATATCTTTAACTGTAGAGGAACTAGTTATATTTACCAGTAGAGGAACTAGTTATCTTTACCAGTAGAGGAACTAGTTATCTTTACCAGTAGAGGAACTAGTTATCTCTACCAGTAGAGGAACTAGTTATCTTTACCAGTAGAGGGACTAGTTATATTTACCAGTGGAATAACTAGTTATCTTTGCCTGTAGAGGAACTAGTTATCTTTACCAGTAGAGGGACTAGTTATATTTACCAGTAGAGGAACTAGTTATCTTTACCTGTAGAGGGACTAGTTATATTTACCAGTAGAGGAACTAGTTATATTTACCAGTAGAGGAACTAGTTATCTTTACCAGTAGAGGAACTAGTTATCTTTACCAGTAGAGGGACTAGTTATATTTACCAGTGGAAGAACTAGTTATCTTTACCAGTAGAGGAACTAGTTATCTCTACCAGTAGAGGAACTAGTTATCTTTACCAGTAGAGGGACTAGTTATATTTACCAGTGGAATAACTAGTTATCTTTACCTGTAGAGGAACTAGTTATATTTACCAGTGGAAGAACTAGTTATCTTTACCTGTAGAGGGACTAGTTATATTTACCAGTAGAGGAACTAGTTATCTTTACCAGTAGAGGAACTAGTTATCTTTACCTGTAGAGGATCTAGTTATCTGTTACCTGTAGAGGAACTAGTTATCTCTACCAGTAGAGGAACTAGTTATCTCTACCAGTAGAGGAACTAGTTATATTTACCTGTAGAGGAACTAGTTATCTTTACCTGTAGAGGAACGAGTTATCTTTACCAGTAGAGGAACTAGTTATCTTTACCTGTATAGGAACTAGTTATCTTTACCAGTAGAGGAACTAGTTATATTTACCAGTAGAGGAACTAGTTATCTTTACCAGTAGAGGAACTAGTTATCTTTACCTGTAGAGAAACTAGTTATCTTTACCAGTAGATGAACTAGTTATATTTACCAGTAGAGGAACTAGTTATCTTTACCAGTAGAGGAACTAGTTATCTTTACCTGTAGAGGAACTAGTTATCTTTACCTGTAGAGGGACTAGTTATATTTACCTGTAGAGGAACTAGTTATCTTTACCTGTAGAGGAACTAGTTATCTTTACCAGTAGAGGAACTAGTTATCTTTACCTGTAGAGGAACTAGTTATCTTTACCAGTAGAGGAACTAGTTATCTTTACCTGTAGAGGAACTAGTTATCTTTACCTGTAGAGGGACTAGTTATATTTACCAGTGGAATAACTAGTTATCTTTACCCGTAGAGGAACTAGTTATATTTACCAGTGGAAGAACTAGTTATCTTTACCAGTAGAGGGACTAGTTATATTTACCAGTAGAGGAACTAGTTATCTTTACCAGTAGAGGAACTAGTTATCTTTACCTGTAGAGGAACTAGTTATCTTTACCAGTAGATGAACTAGTTATATTTACCAGTAGAGGAACTAGTTATCTTTACCAGTAGAGGAACTAGTTATCTTTACCTGTAGAGGAACTAGTTATCTTTACCTGTAGAGCAGTGCTTCTCAAAGTGTGGTCCGCGGACCACTGGTGGTCCGTGAGTGCCCCCTAGTGGTCCGTGAGTATATTGGTAAAATTTCACATTTGAAATAAATACATTTATTTAAGTTGTTCGCACTCTCGCGGGAATATCTCCGCAATGGAACGAGCTTAAGTTTCACTTTCGATTGCATGATATAGCCCAGATAAGCACCTTCATCACACATGTTGCCACTTGTTTGTACAATTTTCAGGCGATTTGTAAAAAACGATGTGTTTTTGGAAATTTGTGGAGTTAGGTGGTCCGCGAGTGTTTTTTTATTGGTTAAGTGGTCCTTGGTATGAAAAAGTTTGAGAAACACTGCTGTAGAGGAACTAGTTATCTTTACCAGTAGAGGAACTAGTTATCTGTACCTGTAGAGGAACTAGTTATCTTTACCAGTATAGGAACTAGTTATCTTTACCAGTAGAGGAACTAGTTATCTTTACCTGTAGAGGAACTAGTTATCTGTACCTGTAGAGGAACTAGTTATCTTTACCTGTAGAGGAACTAGTTATCTTTACCAGTAGAGGAACTAGTTATCTTTACCTGTAGAGGAAGTAGTTATCTTTACCTGTAGAGGAACTAGTTATATTTACCTGTAGATGAACTAGTTATCTTTACCTGTAGAGGAACTAGTTATCTTTACCTGTAGAGGAACTAGTTATCTTTACCAGTAGAGGAACTAGTTATCTTTACCTGTAGAGGAACTAGTTATCTTTACCTGTAGAGGAACTAGTTATCTTTACCAGTAGAGAAACTAGTTATCTTTACCAGTAGAGGAACTAGTTATCTTTACCTGTAGAGGAACTAGTTATATTTACCTGTAGAGGAACTAGTTATCTTTACCAGTAGAGGAACTAGTTATCTTTACCAGTAGAGGAACTAGTTATCTTTACCAGTAGAGGAACTAGTTATCTTTACCTGTAGAGGAACTAGTTATCTGTACCTGTAGAGGAACTAGTTATCTTTACCTGTAGAGGAACTAGTTATCTTTACCAGTAGAGGAACTAGTTATCTTTACCTGTAGAGGAACTAGTTATCTGTACCTGTAGAGGAAGTAGTTATCTTTACCTGTAGAGGAACTAGTTATATTTACCTGTAGATGAACTAGTTATCTTTACCTGTAGAGGAACTAGTTATCTGTACCTGTAGAGGAACTAGTTATCTTTACCAGTAGAGGAACTAGTTATCTTTACCTGTAGAGGAACTAGTTATCTTTACCTGTAGAGGAACTAGTTATCTTTACCAGTAGAGGAACTAGTTATCTTTACCAGTAGAGGAACTAGTTATCTTTACCAGTAGATGATCTAGTTATCTTTACCTGTAGAGGAACTAGTTATCTTTACCTGTAGAGGAACTAGTTATCTGTTACCTGTAGAGGATCTAACTGTCTCTTTGCTCACCAACTGCTCTGTGATTGGTCAGTGCGTGGTGGTGGGGGCGGGGCCCTGTGGTCTCCGGGCAGCAGTGGAGCTCAGGTTCCTCGGGGCCCGGGTGGTTCTCCTGGAGAAGAGGGACTGCTTCTCCCGGAACAACGTTCTGCACCTGTGGCCCTTCACCATCCACGACCTCAGGGGCCTCGGAGCCAAGAGGTTCTACGGGAGGTTCTGTGCCGGAGCCATCGACCACATCAGTGAGTCAACAGGAAGTCCTTATATGGGGTTATGAGTCATTAAACGGTAAATGAGTCATCAACAGGGAAAAGAGTCATTAAACAGGGAAAAGAGTCATTAAACAGGTAGTTATTATATGGTGTTAATCAATTTACAGAAACCAGTCAGAGTTCTCCTGTTTGTAACCAGACTCACCTGTGCAGGTATCCGGCAGCTGCAGCTGGTTCTGCTGAAGGTGGCCCTGCTGCTCGGGGTGGAGGTTCACGTCAACGTGGAGTTCAAACACCTAAAGGAGCCCCCGGAGGAGCAGAGCCCCCGCAGTGAGGACTCTTTACACCTGTCTTACCTGCATGAGGTGTTGACCCTACCTGTCCTCATGTTGTCTGTATGAGGTGTTGGCCCTACCTGTCCTCATGTTGTCTGTATGAGGTGTTGGCCCTACCTGTCCTCATGTTGTCTGTATGAGGTGTTGGCCCTACCTGTCCTCATGTTGTCTGTATGAGGTGTTGACCCTACCTGTCCTCATGTTGTCTGTATGAGGTGTTGACCCTACCTGTCCTCATGTTGTCTGTATGAGGTGTTGACCCTACCTGTCCTCATGTTGTCTGTATGAGGTGTTGACCCTACCTGTCCTCATGTTGTCTGTATGAGGTGTTGACCCTACCTGTATGTCTTACCTGTATGAGGCGTTGACCCTACCTGTCCTGATGTTGTCTGTATGAGGTGTTGACCCTACCTGTATATCTTACCTTTATGAGGTGTTGACCCTACCTGTCCTCATGTTGTCTGTATGAGGTGTTGGCCCTACCTGTCCTCATGTTGTCTGTATGAGCTGTTGGCCCTACCTGTCTTCATGTTGTCCAGTATGAGGTGTTGACCCTACCTGTCCTCATGTTGTCTGTATGAGGTGTTGGCCCTACCTGTCCTCATGTTGTCTGTATGAGCTGTTGGCCCTACCTGTCTTCATGTTGTCCAGTATGAGGTGTTGGCCCTACCTGTCCTCATGTTGTCTGTATGAGGTGTTGGCCCTACCTGTCCTCATGTTGTCTGTATGAGCTGTTGGCCCTACCTGTCTTCATGTTGTCCAGTATGAGGTGTTGACCCTACCTGTCTTCATGTTGTCTGTATGAGGTGTTGACCCTACCTGTCCTCATGTTGTCTGTATGAGGTGTTGACCCTACCTGTCCTCATGTTGTCTGTATGAGGTGTTGACCCTACCTGTCCTCATGTTGTCCAGTATGAGGTGTTGACCCTACCTGTCTTCATGTTGTTTTATCAGTATGAGGTGTTGACCCTACCTGTCTTCATGTTGTCTTACCCCTATGAGGTGTTGACCCTACCTGTCTTCATGTTGTCTGTATGAGGTGTTGACCCTACCTGTCCTCGTGGTTTCCGTATGAGGTGTTGACCCTACCTGTATGTTTTACCTGTAGAGGTTGGCTGGAGGATGCAGGTGAGTCCGAAGTCTCACGCTCTCAATCAGCTGGAGTTTGATGTGATTATCGGAGCGGACGGACGCAGGAACACACTCCCAGGTTTCCAGCGTAAGGAGTTCAGAGGGAAGCTGGCCATCGCCATCACGGCGAACTTCAGGAACAGGAACACCACGGCAGAGGCTAAGGTGGAGGAAATCAGTGGCGTCGCCTTCATCTTCAACCGGAGGTTCTTCATGGACCTGCGACAGGAAACCGGTACCAGCAGGACCCATTACCTCCTGAAAATAATACCTTTCTGACGGTTAATTTGTTTGATCTCTGTTTCAGGGATCGATCTGGAAAACATCGTTTATTACAAAGACGACACACACTACTTTGTGATGACCGCAAAGAAACAGAGTCTGCTGGAGAAAGGAGTCATTAAACAGGTAAAATAGTCATTAAGGTGAACTAACTCCTAATGAATCATTAAGGTGAACTAACCTCTAATGAATCCTCCTCCATCAGGACTTTGCCGACACCGCACAGCTTCTCTCGCGGTCCAACGTGGACCAGCATGTATTGCAGGCCTTCGCCCGCGAGGCCGCAGACTTCTCGACCAATCAGCAGCTGCCGTCCCTGGAGTTCTCCTTGAACCAAAACAACCAACCAGACGTCGCCTTGTTCGACTTCACCTGCATCTCTGCAGCCGAACACGCCGCTGTCATCAGAGAGCGCCACGGACACCAGCTGCTGGTCTCACTGGTGGGGGACAGTCTGCTGGAGGTGAGACAGGTGGGGGACAGTCTGCTGGAGGTGAGACAGGTGGGGGACAGTCTGCTGGAGGTGAGACAGGTGGAGGACAGGCTGCTGGAGGTGAGACAGGTGGAGGACAGTCTGCTGGAGGTGAGACAGGTGGAGGACAGTCTGCTGGAGGTGAGACAGGTGGAGGACAGGCTGCTGGAGGTGAGACAGGTGGAGGACAGTCTGCTGGAGGTGAGACAGGTGGGGGACAGTCTGCTGGAGGTGAGACAGGTGGGGGATAGTCTGCTGGAGGTGAGACAGGTGGGGGACAGTCTGCTGGAGGTGAGACAGGTGGAGGATAGTCTGCTGGAGGTGAGACAGGTGGGGGACAGTCTGCTGGAGGTGAGACAGGTGGAGGATAGTCTGCTAGAGGTGAGACAGGTGGAGGACAGTCTGCTGGAGGTGAGACAGGTGGAGGATAGTCTGCTGGAGGTGAGACAGGTGGAGGACAGTCTGCTGGAGGTGAGACAGGTGGAGGATAGTCTGCTGGAGGTGAGACAGGTGGAGGACAGTCTGCTGGAGGTGAGACAGGTGGGGGACAGGCTGCTGGAGGTGAGACAGGTGGGGGACAGTCTGCTGGAGGTGAGACAGGTGGGGGATAGTCTGCTGGAGGTGAGACAGGTGGGGGACAGTCTGCTGGAGGGAGACAGGTGGGGGACAGTCTGCTGGAGGTGAGACAGGTGGGGGATAGTCTGCTGGAGGTGAGACAGGTGGAGGACAGTCTGCTGGAGGTGAGACAGGTGGGGGACAGTCTGCTGGAGGTGAGACAGGTGGGGGACAGTCTGCTGGAGGTGAGACAGGTGGAGGACAGTCTGCTGGAGGTGAGACAGGTGGGGGACAGTCTGCTGGAGGGGAGACAGGTGGAGGACAGGTCTGCTGGAGGTGAGACAGGTGGGGGACAGTCTGCTGGAGGTGAGACAGGTGAGGACAGTCTGCTGCTGAGGTGAGACAGGTGGGGGACAGTCTGCTGGAGGTGAGACAGGTGGAGGACAGTCTGCTGGAGGTGAGACAGGTGGAGGACAGTCTGCTGGAGGTGAGACAGGTGGGGGACAGGCTGCTGGAGGTGAGACAGGTGGGGGACAGGCTGCTGGAGGTGAGACAGGTGGGGGACAGTCTGCTGGAGGTGAGACAGGTGGGGGGGCAGGCTGCTGGAGGTGAGACAGGTGGGGGGACACTCTGCTGGAGGTGAGACAGGGTGGGGGACAGGCTGCTGGAGGTGAGACAGGTGGGGGACAGGCTGCTGGAGGTGAGACAGGTGGGGGACACTCTGCTGGAGGTGAGACAGGTGGGGGACAGGCTGCTGGAGGTGAGACAGGTGGGGGGACAGTCTGCTGGAGGTGAGACAGGTGGAGGACAGTCTGCTGGAGGTGAGACAGGTGGGGGACAGTCTGCTGGAGGTGAGACAGGTGGGGGACACTCTGCTGGAGGTGAGACAGGTGGGGGACAGGCTGATGGAGGTGAGACAGGTGGGGGATAGTCTGCTGGAGGACAGTCTGCTGGAGGTGAGACAGGTGGAGGACAGTCTGCTGGAGGTGAGACAGGTGGAGGACAGTCTGCTGGAGGTGAGACAGGTGGAGGACAGTCTGCTGGAGGTGAGACAGGTGGGGGACAGTCTGCTGGAGGTGAGACAGGTGGAGGACAGTCTGCTGGAGGTGAGACAGGTGGGGGATAGTCTGCTGGAGGTGAGACAGGTGGGGGATAGTCTGCTGGAGGTTGAGACAGGTGGGGGGACAGTCTGCTGGAGGTGAGACAGGTGGGGGACAGTCTGCTGGAGGTGAGGACAGGTGGAGGACAGTCTGCTGGAGGTGAGACAGGTGGGGGGACAGTCTGCTGGAGGTGAGACAGTGGAGGGACAGTCTGCTGGAGGTGAGACAGGTGGGGGATAGTCTGCTGGAGGTGAGACAGGTGGGGGACAGTCTGCTGGGAGGTGAGACAGGTGGGGGACAGTCTGCTGGAGGTGAGACAGGTGGAGGACAGTCTGCTGGAGGTGAGACAGGGGGGGGACAGTCTGCTGGAGGGTGAGACAGGTGGGGGACAGTCTGCTGGAGGTGAGACAGGTGGAGGACAGTCTGCTGGAGGTGAGACAGGTGGGGGATAGTCTGCTGGAGGTGAGACAGGTGGGGGACAGTCTGCTGGAGGTGAGACAGGTGGAGGACAGTCTGCTGGAGGTGAGACAGGTGGGGGACAGTCTGCTGGAGGGTGAGACAGGTGGGGGACAGTCTGCTGGAGGTGAGACAGGTGGAGGACAGTCTGCTGGAGGTTGAGACAGGTGGGGGATAGTCTGCTGGAGGTGGAGACAGGTGGGGGACAGTCTGCTGGAGGTGAGACAGTGGTAAGGGACAGTCTGCTGGAGGTGAGACAGGGACGGGACAGTCTGCTGGAGGTGAGACAGGTGGAGGACAGTCTGCTGGAGGTGAGACAGGTGGAGGACAGTCTGCTGGAGGTGAGACAGGTGGAGGACAGTCTGCTGGAGGTGAGACAGGTGGAGGACAGTCTGCTGGAGGTGAGACAGGTGGAGGACAGTCTGCTGGAGGTGAGACATGGTGGAGGACAGTCTGCTGGAGGTAGACAGGTGGAGGACATCCTGGAGGTGAGACAGGGGGGACAGTCTGCTGGAGGTGAGACAGGTGGGGGACACTCTGCTGGAGGTGAGACAGGGACGGGACAGTCTGCTGGAGGTGAGACAGGTGGGGGATAGTCTGCTGGAGGACAGTCTGCTGGAGGTGAGACAGGTGGAGGACAGTCTGCTGGAGGTATGAGACAGGTGGAGGACAGTCTGCTGGAGTGAGACAGGTGGAGGACAGTCTGCTGGAGGTGAGACAGGTGGGGGACAGTCTGCTGGAGGTGAGACAGGTGGGGGACAGCTGCTGGAGGTGAGACAGGTGGGGGACAGTCTGCTGGAGGTGAGACAGGTGGGAGGACAGTCTGCTGGAGGTGAGACAGGTGGGGGACAGTCTGCTGGAGGTGAGACAGGTGGAGGACAGTCTTGCTGGAGGTGAGACAGGTGGAGGACAGTCTGCTGGAGGTGAGACAGGTGGGGGACAGTCCTGCTGGAGGTGAGACAGGTGGGGGACAGTCTGCTGGAGGTGAGACAGGTGGGGGACAGTCTGCTGGAGGTGAGACAGGTGGGGGGACAGTCTGCTGGAGGTGAGACAGGTGGGAGGACAGTCTGCTGGAGGTGAGACAGGTGGGGGACAGTCTGCTGGAGGTGAGACAGGTGGGGGACAGTCTGCTGGAGGTGAGACAGGTGGGGGACAGTCTGCTGGAGGTTGAGACAGGTGGGAGGACAGTCTGCTGGAGGTGAGACAGGTGGGGGGACAGTCTGCTGGAGGTGAGACAGGGGGGGGACAGTCTGCTGGAGGTGAGACAGGGTGGAGGACAGTCTGCTGGAGGTGAGACAGGTGGGGGACAGTCTGCTGGAGGTGAGACAGGTGGGGGACAGTCTGCTGGAGGTGAGACAGGTGGAGGACAGTCTGCTGGAGGTGAGACAGGTGGGGGACAGTCTGCTGGAGGTGAGACAGGTGGAGGGACAGTCTGCTGGAGGTGAGACCAGGTGGGTGACAGTCTGCTGGAGGTGAGACAGGTGGGGGACAGTCTGCTGGAGGTGAGACAGGTGGGGGACAGTCTGCTGAGAGGTGGAGACAGGTTGGGGGACAGTCTGCTGGAGGTGAGACAGGTGGAGGACAGTCTGCTGGAGGTGAGGACAGGTGGAGGACAGTCTGCTGGAGGTGAGACAGGTGGAGGACAGTCTGCTGGAGGTGAGACAGGTGGGGGACAGGTGCTGCTGGAGGTGAGACAGGTGGGGGATAGTCTGCTGGAGGTGAGACAGGTGGGGGACAGTCTGCTGGAGGTGAGGACAGCTGAGACAGTGGAGGGACAGGCTGCTGGAGGTGAGACAGGTGGGGGGACAGTCTGCTGGAGTGAGACAGGGTGGGGGACAGTCTGGCTGGAGGTGAGACAGGTGGAGGACAGGCTGCTGGAGGTGAGACAGGTGGGGGACAGTCTGCTGGAGGTGAGACAGGTGGGGGACGTCTGCTGGAGGTGAGACAGGTGGGGGACAGTCTGCTGGAGGTGTTGGTTGAGACAGGTGGGGACAGTCTGCTGGAGGTGAGACAGGTGGGGGACAGTCTGCTGGAGGTGAGACAGGTGGGGACAGGCTGCTGGAGGTGAGACAGGTGGGGGACAGTCTGCTGGAGGTGAGACAGGTGGGGGACAGGCTGCTGGAGGTGAGACAGGTGGGGGACAGTCTGCTGGAGGTGAGACAGGTGGAGGACAGTCTGCTGGAGGTGAGACAGGTGGGGGATAGTCTGCTGGAGGTGAGACAGGTGGAGGACAGTCTGCTGGAGGTGAGACAGGTGGGGGATAGTCTGCTGGAGGTGAGACAGGTGGGGCAGTCTGCTGGAGGTGAGACAGGTGGGGGGCAGTCTGGTGGAGGGGAGACAGGTGGGGGACAGTCTGCTGGAGGTGAGACAGGTGGGGACAGTCTGCTGGAGGTGAGACAGGTGGGGGACAGTCTGCTGGAGGTGAGACAGGTGGGGGATAGTCTGCTGGAGGTGAGACAGGTGGGGACAGTCTGCTGGAGGTGAGACAGGTGGGGGACAGTCTGCTGGAGGTGAGACAGGTGGGGGACAGTCTGCTGGAGGTGAGACAGGTGGGGGTAGTCTGCTGGAGGTGAGACAGGTGGGGGACAGTCTGCTGGAGGTGAGACAGGTGGGGGATAGTCTGCTGGAGGTGAGACAGGTGGGGGATAGTCTGCTGGAGGTGAGACAGGTGGAGGACAGTCTGCTGGAGGTGAGACAGGTGGGGGACAGTCTGCTGGCTGGAGGTGAGACAGGTGGGGGACAGTCTGCTGGAGGTGAGACAGGTGGGGGACAGTCTGCTGGAGTGAGACAGGTGGGGGATAGTCTGCTGGAGGTGAGACAGGTGAGGTGTAGACAGGTGAGGTGAGACAGGTGAGGAGGGACAGGCTGCTGGAGGTGAGA